CTGCTCGCTGGTTCATGGTGATCAGCAGGTGTGATACCTCCATGTCGGGCGCACCATCCTTGTGTTCCCACCAAAGACTCTGGAGGCCATCCCCGATCCACACCTCTAGCCTCAAATGATCTTTGATCATGTCGCCCAAGAGCTAGATGACGATATCGCACCAGAACGGCTGGCCGTCAACGCCCAAGCTGTTACCGTGATCATAGACTGGGCGAGACAATAGTGTCAGTCATGCACACGGGAGGATGACCAGACTTCTACGCACTGGGTGCTGGCCCTTCTTCCCTTAGGTGACGATTCCATTGCTTCGATCTCTACGCCCACTCCTCCTTCTTGGCGACAAGCATCTGATAGTGGGTTGCAGACCACCTGACCATTTGCGCAATTTCAGCACGAATGCGACGAGCTCCTCCCGAGATCGATTGCGAAGATGAAGGGCTTTGATGCCTTCAATTACGGTGCAACGTCAGCACTGAATGAACCTGAGTTATTCCACATGAAGCACTCACCTCGTCTGCAAGCAGGGTCCCAGTCCCAAGGAGCCCTGTTGTTCTCGAAGAGGACACTGGTGTCCTTCCAGAAGTCGGCGTCAAAGGGCATATCCAACAGCTCCTTGACACTCTCGGCTCGAGAGGGTGGGTGGTCGGGATGGTCCGTTTCACAGTAGGCGTTGAGGGCGGCGTTGTACTTGTTCATAGCCTGCGCAAGCTTGCCCTGTCGGATTTTACGGAGTAAATCCTTGGTGGCGCGATATCCTGCAGATAATCGAGGTCAGCGGCAGTTGAGCCTTGCAAATTAGGAGTAAATACCGAGAGGTGCAATCATACCCATGCGCACATTACGGATGGGTTCCAGCATGAACTTGTGGGATCGAACCGCTTCACGCAGCTGGCGGTGGGCTTCGTGGAGCATGCAGAGGCGATACACAGTATCCACAGCTTCTGACGCACGGCTGTCAGTCGATGCTTTAATGCTGCAAAGACACAAGGGATACGCACAGCTTTCTTCGACCAAATTCTTCGCAGCTTCTGCCATGCCCTCCTCCAGCTGAACCACTTCCGCCTGTAATCGCGAGCCACTGGGGACGGTGAAAGAGAGTGTGGTGATGTCGCCGCGTTGTAGAGCCTCTTGGGCGATGCGACTGTCGAGCAGTGCCGTCAGCAATGGACGTATCTGATTGATAGCGTCTCCGGTACAGGCTTACTGTTGATTTGTTAGGTTGCCCCTCTTAGTCGTGATACTCATGAACAACCGGTACGCCTCCTCACGCTCGTCCTCCCTCTCTTCACGTGCCGCCTTGCTATGCGCCTCTCGTTGAAGGTCAGCCTGCGCCTGGAGCTCCTCCTCTCCCCACCGGGCCACAAGCTTATCTTTGATGCATTGCAGATCGTCCTTCTTCAGGCTCAATAGATCGCCTTGATCATCATGTCGTTCGTGCGTTTCATACCGAAAGCTCTGGCGTCGAAGGCGAGATTGAGCTTGTCGAATCGTCGACTCGTCGCTGCAGCCGTACTGTTTGATAAGCATACTACCTCTTGATGCCCATGAGCGGATCCAGCGCACATGCACACGAACACCACTTCTCCAGTGATAGCCTTTGTCGTATAGCCTCTTGTCGTATAGCCTCTTGCTGTATAGCCTCTTGTCGTATAGCCTCTTGTCGCAGTCTTCAAAATGGCAGGCAGTCGTGACTAAACCATGTGGGACAACCTCCGCGGTCCAGGGTATTTCCAGCATCAATCTATGTCGAAGAGTATGCAAGTGGGACATGGACTGTACACCCGATGTCAGCTTGAGCATGGGCTATCTCACGTATCACTTACAGGTGCTATCATGCATATACGACCGAAGAACGGCAGCGGACACTTGTGCTCAATGCCGGCTGCACCTACAAGTAAGTGGTGGTATATGTACATGTATTACATAAGATTGAAGACCCGGTGAAAGCTGATGAAGTAATCGATTACTTCATGCGGCGTTGCTGGCAAACCTCGCGACGCAGTCGCGTGTAAAAAGGCGGCTATTGCCGTGTATAAGTGTCGGGGAAGGGTGCGGGGAAGGGTGGTGCGAGAATGAGTCGGATTGGTGACGTGGAAGACGTACAATATGGTGGTGACGTAACGAATATTCAGTTTGTTGTTTGGTTCCAGGGCCAAACATCCGCGACAGTCTTGTTCCAGCAGCTGCCTCTGTACCACCGTCACAGCGCCCAGCCAGTCCGTATCCAGTCACGTCTTTACTTCTCATAGGACAAATTCCCCGGAGGAGCTTTTGAAGGATCATGGAGCGGTTGTAACGGCCAGGCTCTAGGTGGACGACAGAACTTGATCTTGAATCGAGGTCTGCATTATGTCAAAGCTCAAGTGTGTTTAAGGATAGCTGGAGTGGCTACAAAATGGTCGGGAGAAGTGGAACTGACGGTATCAAGTTTACGCTCGTTTACGGTATACCAACAACCACCTCCTTAGATGAACCGCGTTTCATCCTCCACCCCATCCCTGGTCAAGCCACTAAAGCCCTCTAGCATACTTTTAAAGTACCGGAATCGAACTAGAGAGCACATCTTCATGCAGTGATATCACGTATGCTGAGTGTCAAGGGGCCGGGCTATGCTGGCCGACCGACGATAAAGATACTCGGCCGACATTGATGGAGCCAAATGAATCTCCGTTGTCGTGCAGGAAGGATGTGTGGTTGATAGGCCTGCTGCTAGAATCAGAGTTGAAAGAGAAGGTTCGTTGGATTCGGCGTGGACCGAGAAAGAGGTCCTGATTTGGTTCCGTCCCATTTACGTAAGTGTGCGGTGAGCTCGCGCCGGAACCATGCCGATGCATTCGTTCGAGGGGTGTTATGATCTCTATCATCTCCATCTTTTTTTACATCGCATCTATATCCTCTATTCGTATTCATTGGCAGCTCAACGGAGCCCTCAAGAACCACCGGGCTACTCAAAGTCACCCCTTTGTGCAAGGACCTGTCGTAATCGGCACTCGGCACCACCTCTATCGCCCCCTCGCGACTCGCACGACTACCTCAATAACATCGATTTACCTCTTCTCTCCCTCGAAGACCCTGGAACTAGACCACCAACCCTTTCATTATGGTGAGCAACGCGCCCAGGGCTGTCCTCTTCCCCAGAAGCGTCAATATGCTGACAAAATGCTCCAGTCTACAGCAGCCAAGAGACGATTGATTCGAGACTTTAAGCGTCTCACTTCCGATGCTCCTATCGGTATCTCTGGCAGTCCCAATCCAGACAACATTATGGTATGGAACGCAGTCATCTTTGGTCCTCGTAAGTGTCTTCTCCTTGGCGGTGGCGATCTCGAGTTCCCACGCGACCTCCTCGTCCTATCCACGTGGTCTTTGGCTGTGGCACATCGCTGACCTCTGTCATTCAGCGGACACACCATTCGAAGACGGATCTTTCCGCCTCACCCTCACATTCTCCGATTCATACCCCAACAAACCACCCACCGTCCGCTTCATCTCCAAAATGTTCCATCCCAACATCTACGCCAACGGCGAACTGTGTCTCGATATCCTGCAGAACAGATGGAGTCCGACGTACGATGTGGCGGCAATCTTGACGAGTGTGCAGAGTCTGTTGAATGACCCCAACCCTGCTAGGTCAGTCATGGTCGGTCGTGAGCGCAGATGGGCGGTGCTGATGTATATGATAGTCCTGCCAACGTCGATGCTGCTCAGCTCTTCAAAGAGAACATCAAAGAGTACGAACGGCGCGTCAAGGTATGTCTTTCATCCCATTCTTTGGTCAGTGACTAATGGAGTGCAGAAAACCGTCGAGCTCTCGTGGTTGGACAACACCGATGACTTGGAGGAAGCGACAGGAGGGGACGAAGACGCCTCATGAGAGCTCCCTAGCCTCAGAGACTAGATCAGAGTTTGTGATGACAGAAGGGGGTTGGAAGAGGTCGAAGGACGAGTTGTATGAATTGGAGGTTCTAGAGCGGGAGAGACAGATACCCATCATTGCCCTTAGGCAGCGCAGCGTCTTGTATCACATCCGTAGCCTTTCCATGCTACCCATTTGCTCAACATGCTCGGGCGAAAAGTCCTATCCATTATAAATGCGTACAACAATACTGCGATAGATTACAAAAGGTGAGAGAGACATCTAAGCAACAACAAGAACTTGCCCCTTGTCATCTAGCAACGTCAACCGAGCTTTCTCCAGAAACATCACCCTCGTCTTCTCAATCTCTGCCGTATGCTCATCCCTCTTCTCCTTCCTCACCGCCTTTCTCGCCTCCCTGTCCTTTCTCGCCTCCCTCCTCGCCTCTTTCATCTTCATACGCCTAGCCTCCATCTTCTTCCTCCTCTCCCGCACCTCCATCCACTCACCCTTCTCCTCCCACGTCCCCAGCTCATAATCATCCTCTTCTTCCGACAACGTCGCAGGGTCTGGCGGTGGTTCCGGTACAGGCCAGGTAGGGTCGAGCTGTGAATAGTCTTTCTCCGGTACCCACGTACGGCAAATGGCCATCCTTAGCGACAGCGCACGTCGAGCATCGCACCAGATCCTCAGACAATCGCCCATCTCTGCTTTGACGCTCTTCTTTCCCGCTATCCCATCTGGCACTTCCACATGCAGCCCTTCTCCTTCTCTTCTTCCTTCTCCGACGTCGCGCAGGTTCCACCAATCCAAGTTTCCACTCTGAACCGCCCAAGACAGCGGCCCGAAGAGGCCCTTGGTGTCGTCTTGCCAGGAAGGGATCAACCATTGTTGGATGAAATATTTCAAGCGCTGGGGCGTCCAGTAGATAGTGCTGGCGCTCTTCTCTGCGCCCAGAGACGCAGAGTCAAGTGCGAGTACACCAGACGAAGGGATAAGCTGCCTCGGTATCATGGGAGCTTTCTTTGGACTACCACCTGCAGCCGAGACAGGAGGGACGAAAGGTTCGAGAGGATCGTTGATACCGGGTATGTGTACCGGCCCATGGATAGGGATGACCCAGCACACCCTAGCCCAAGGTCGTTTCTGGATATAGTGATGGATATCGGGGTGGTAGGGATGATACGGCCACGATGAAAGTTGTGCGGGAGGGGTATAAGTCGGCACGGGGGTGGTTCGTGGATACTTTTGAAAAATGGGAGGTTCGCGACTACGGGGCTGTAAAGGTGTCAGCACAAAGCAGAGATCAAAGCAGATGGTACACACTTTGATAATCTTGTATACCCGACCATATACCGGGTCAGAAGCGTACTGCTCTCGCCACCATGCACTGCGACGCTTCGCCACATCTTCACGACCTAATACCATCGAGACGGACGCTTCCGAGCCTTGCAATTCGCCGCCAACCTGGGCAGCTGCCGTGGCTCCGGCTCGGGGCGGAGGCGAGGTCATTCGCGAAGGGGCACTGAGATCTCTTGCAGGCAAGAGTCTCTCCCAATCGTCCTGAACGTCCGTCTCCTCAACAACAGGCAAAGGGACAACCTGCGCCGGCACGGCAGTCCAGCACTCCTCAAACTCCTCCATCTCGTCCAGCGTCATGTCCAGATCCTTATCAAGACCTTGTGTCCATCCTGCGAGGTTGGCGCCGACTTTCGGGATGTGGCTTGGTTTCGGGTGGGGTGGTAGAGGTGTAAGTGTGCGGTGTTGAGGAGGAGGGTGGGCGAGGGTATAGCGATTGGCATACGCTTCCACAGAACCTGAGAGACGTCAGTGATACTCCTAATCATCGGACTGCAAGCACCTACATATACAAGGATGGACAAGAGGCGCCGACAACCACATCACATTCTCTTCGAGAGGCTTGCCCTTCCCTTTCCCTTTTCCATTCCAGCCTCGCCGCTCCATGACTCCCTCCTTCTCCTTCCTCATCGCTTCCACCAAGACCTCCTCTCCGGCCACATACCAGTTCCCCGCTTCAGTCTCATCCAAACACGTTCCCTGGGGCAGGGCGATTCGTATAGTGAGCTGCTCAGGGTCGGGCAAGGAAGCAAGCGATATAGCGGTTTTCTGCGATTCGAAAGTGCCGATTGGTATCGATGGCATGGGAGACACCCTGCGGGTAGGGCGAGATGGCCCAGCAACAGGCTGCAGTCTATCTGCCCAGCCACCCCCTCCCACGAGCGGTCTATCGTATCTCGCCGACCCAAAACTCGCGACATCTTCTTGCACACTCTCCACGCTCTCCGTCTGACTCTTCACAATCCTCTGCTCTACCGTCTTCGACGACTTTCTCATGTACCCTGTCACTGCCACTCTTGGCACTTGGCTGCATTTCCGGTCGACTGGCTGAGCGGCTGGCGCGGTGGACACGGGCGATGGGCGACTTCTCTTGGTGGGGGTGCGGGCTGTCGGGGGTCGGGTGCGGGTCCTGCTGGACATGGGCGCCCTTGCTGCTTGGCTTAAATGTTGCAAAGATGGCGAAAGACGTGGAATAGTCGTGGATATGTGAATGAGTGATGTCTTTGTAATGATTTTCTGGCAAATTGTACTAGCAAATTGTAATAAACATTAGAATAAGACGCATCTATTAGCATTTCACGCGACGCGGCTGCCTTCTATTGCATCTCGCGTCTGGAAGCTATGTGACTGAGTGTGCATAGACGCGACACGCTGCTAAGAACGTGATCGGGTGTCTGGTAGAATAGCTGGCATTCAACACAGAATAATATAGACATGAGATCCCTCATACTCCAGAAATGTATGTACAAGTAGAACGGTAAGTGAAATGATCTTTTGAATAAAAATCAAAGTATAAGGTCCGTTTAAAAGAAAAGAAAACATTTGTGGATGATATGGGGCGGGCGAAAAGGAAGATTTCGCCACTATGTGCCGCATTGGGTGCTGTGGATACCTCCTAGGCCAGCGAGTGCCAGTACAACAATCCTGATGCGAATGATCAGTGGGCAAGGCTGGGCGAGCGGATAGGGCTGGGCCGACAAGCAGGTCAAGTAGGAGCGACAAAGGGTTGAAATTGTCGCATGTGAGGCAAACTATGGATATCTATGAACAAGTTTGTAAAAGCACGCAGGTTATGTTGTCGACGTGATGAATTCGATTGTTGCGCGTGCGTGACATCGGCCCCCAATGATGCCTCTCACTCCCAACTCCTACAACCGGTGGAGACAACAACTCGCACGTACAAACTGCCGTTCCAGTGTCCGTCGTTGTTGAAACAGACGACTGGGCGAGGAGAGGCAATGTCTTGGGTGATGAAAGACTTTCGAGGGGCTGACATGATCCTAGTCATACTTGTACCTTACTCATGTATGGCATATTTATCATGTGCGCTTGGAACGCTTTGAATGGACGTTAGTTTGGTTTGGAAGATATACAAGTAGGGTTAGGGGTGAGGGTATTCATTCTTGGTGAGCTCTGCTTGAGATGATGGTGTACGCGAGAGAAAGAGGCTGCAGTTGTCCCGTCCTCAGCATGTGCATGTACCTATCCAACTGCTTCCAGATTACGCTCATAAACTGATCCGGCGACCCGATCTACGTTGAACCATCCAGCTCAGATGACCAGTGTCGGGGCGGGAGGTCCGAATGGACTGCAGCAGTCAGCACGGCGGGACAACTTAGTCGTGTCTGCGACTTGAGACGACCTAGAGTATCGAGCAAGTTAGAATTTTGATCCGTGACGAAGAAGACATGTCCGCTCACGAAGTTGCCCACCGCGTCGATCATGCCCAGAAGCAGCGTGGCCATCATTGCAGCAAGCCAGCGCCTCGCCGCCAACCCAGCACCCGGTCCCCTGATACAGGCGGCGATAACGCCGGGGAACGAGAGCAAGCCGCCAACTATCCAGAGGCCTGAGCCGGCGTAGCTGCTTAGAGCTCTGCCCGCAACCGTCGGGCTGATAAACTGGATCAGTGTTTCCCTCAACATGAGACAATTTGTATCGACACTCACTGCTTGTAGTCCCGCCACAACCCAACAGCCAGGCAGATTGCACTCAGAGACAGAAAGAAGACTAAGTGTATATCAGATCCAGTACATGTCGGCTCGATGATGTCACTCACCAACTGCCATTTGTAAAAACAGGTCTACTCTCTCCCAAAGAGGACGATCCTGGTGCTGCTGGGGCTGGGGAGGCTGGGGCTGGGGAGGCTGGGGCTGGGGAGGCTGAGGCTGGTTGGGCTGGATATGCAGCTGGGGTGGCTGCAGCTGCTGGATTTGTTGCTGCTGCTGTTGGGTTTGGAGAGGCGGCTGGAGCTAGAGGCTTTGGTGAAGACGGAAGTGTGAGCGGATATCTCTGGCACAACACTACATTGAGTCAGCACGTTTCTGTCCCGTAGACATCACTCGGACTCACGGTCGCACCGCCCTTCCCCCTCTGGTCCTTCTCCTCCTTCGCCATGCGATCAAAAGCCCCGCAATCAGAGGACTCTCTTGAGGGGTGTAAAACCCCCTTACTGGCTGCCTTCTGTAGCCGTTGGCTTACTCTCTGCCAGTGGGTGCGAGCCTGGGGCGGCTGGACATGCAGGCTGCCGCTGGGGTAGGGGCCCCTGATACTGTTGGCGTTGGTGAGGCGGCCGCGGTTGCTGCTCGTGCTGGGACGAAGGAGCACGAGGAGGGTTGACGGAAGTGCTCGGGTCCACAGATACCGGCCTGGTGAGATTGCGTGTGGATTGGGGAGGGGCCGGCTGTTGCTAGGCAGGCTGTCGCTTGGAGGGCTGATGAGAAGAGGGCTACCTGCACGAGGTATCGAGCAGGGGCTGTCCTGCGAGATCATGGGAGAGGGTTGGCGAGCATAAAGGGAGATTGTAGAAGTACAACACCAAAATCACAAGATGCCCCGGTGATGATTGTAAAGAGGTGGGGGCGGTGATGGCCGCGTGGGCAATAAGAAAGGCGTCACCCAACGTGGCAACGTGGCGCTGCTCCGATCACCATGCACTTTCGCTCCCCGAGCCCCTTCGTGATAGCTGCTATAGTGCTACTCATGCTATCAGTGCTCCTTTTAGATGATGGATCGGGCGGTTGTAGTAAGGCCTCCCCATCCTTCATTGTTCATTCTACTCTTTGTCATGCGCCAGAAATACGGGCGCTTATCACTACTACTGCACAAGAGTAGTATGTCATGGCAGTACTTTTGCCGCTCCGTTTGCGCCCAACGTTCGATCTGGGGCCTCTGGGGCAATGCGGTTTATCTCCATTCTGATGTGGCTTACGACAGCCATGTTGCCAGGTCTATCTCGCTCGTGCCGCTTTTCTGCGTTGACTTGGCTTCTGATCCTCTGTGTCGATCATTTGCATAGCTATCTCATTGGACGGAACAAACGTTCCCATTTGACTTTCTGGTCAAACAACAGCAGTCGAACGAATAACCATACCTGGTGCTTGCGGTAGAGAGCGAGGTCTTGGCGGGCTATATCTGCAGTTCGTATATTTGACGATGATACTAGACGCTTCCTAGATGCCCCGGTGCTGCCAGTTTCAGGCTTAAGCTTGGGGAGAGGGGGGAACGGAGTAGAGGGCATGGGGTCGATGCAGGGAAGGGCACAGGCGACCGCGAGCTCCGCACATGTCAACTTTCCAACGCCGTACCCAGTCACGGGGCCAGTCTTGCCGATGGGTAGGCCGACGCGAACCACGTTTGGAGCGAATGGATCTCGTTGTACAGGAATGAACAGCTCGTACGAGCTCAAGATGACGACAGATGCTCTCTTGTACATGTAGAATTCTTCCCACAACTACGAATTATAGCGTCAGCCAGACAATCTTGCAGCTAATACCGGATGGCCCTACCTGGGAGCCGGCATTCGCCCAATGCTGTAGCCCTTTAATCGCTTCACCATCTTCTTCAACCACCTAGAAAACTTCTTCTTCTGACATGATTATTCGCATCCCCCCCGGCTTCCCCGCCTCCGTCATAAGTTGTTGGACCTTCGCGGCAGGGAGGACGGTATGCAGCTTCAACTCTGCGAAAGAGGCGACTGTCTTCTCTCTTTTTCTGACATACACCCAGTCAGGAGCTCCGCTCTCCGGCACACTAGAAGGTCGCCAAAAGCCGCAACTTCTTATCGGTATGATTTTGCTTAGGGTGACAAAGTTGATGAATTCCCAAAAGACGGACCCCATCCTAGCTGAGAGCTGAGGCTCATTGAAGATGGTGTATTGACCACCCTCATCGCGCTCGCCTTCCTCACGCCCTTCATGCTCGTCACCCGTTTCCTCATCCTCATCCTCTTCATCCTCTTCGTGTCTCTTATGGGCCAGTGAATCCTGTCTCTCTGAGAATGTCTGGGCGAGATCGTCTGGGGCGAGTTGGTGGAGAGGCACAGCATCGTCAAGGGCCTCCTTTAGCCGACTGTTCAGCCCCGGGTCCAAGACAAACCGCACACCATTGTCCACCGTCTCCCTGAAGACCTTCCTCGTGTGAGCGGTAGGGGCGCCGGTCGAAGTTGCCGAGATATGACCGTAGTCCATATTCTCAGGGACGAAGTTGGCCAGCATCTGCCGAGTGGTTATGACAGGGGAATCGGAGAGAATGGGAGGGAGGCGATGGGACTCGGGCATTGTAGGTGGTGAGGGGCGTGTGCGAGGTGTTGGTTTAGGGTCTTTTGGGGTAGAGTACGAGAGAGGTGGCGCGTAGAGTGTGGAAGAGGGATCTTCGGTTGTTGTAAGAGTTTGAGGATGCAGTAGAGGGGCAGACAGTGCGTGAAATAGTCAATGGAAATGTGACAGAAAGACTGAAGATAAAATGGTGATGACGGATCACGGCGGTTCCCTCACCCAATTTTCAGAACCATTTTCTGCACCACGGGGCTGTGCATCGGCGCCCAAAATCAAATCGGTACATGGACTGGAAGTGCACTAGTCGTTTCCGAACCCCAGCATGGCTTTGACCTCCTCCATCTCATCCGCCAGCATCTCATCCTCCCATGCCCCATCCGACACTCGTCTCGCACCCTCAAAGTCGATGATACACAGACTACCATCTGCACGCCGACGGATGTGGCGGCGTTTGATGTCTCCATGAATAACCCCAACGCTATGCAGTGCTTCATAGAGTGAACAGATAGCGAGCCTTCAGAGAGAGTATCGGTCAACGTTGTACTAGTAGCAGCGTCACGCAAGGAACTCACTTCGTCTGTTCAGGAAGCAGCGGCAGGTCCTCGTCCTTAGCACAAACAGCACTGCCGACACGCTCCAAAATCAGAAAGTTGATCTCCCTACTTTCCCACTCTCGACTGACATACATCAGGCCCCGTGGAGCTCCAAAACACCGGGGCACGATATGGCCTTGCAGGCAAGAAAGCACCCCCCCGTAAAGCTCTACCTCCGCTTCCCAAGCATCCACCGCCCCGGCACCTGTCCCGTACCCTGCCGATCCTTTTGCGTCGTCAAAAGTGCTGGGACGCATGGTCTTGACGACGAGCGGGGGCAGATCGTCAGGATGATTGGCTGGAACTCTGGAAGTGAGGGAATAGACATCAGAAAGGCGCCCCCTGTCGATCAATGATCCTATAGAGAATTCGAGGTCGACTGCTGAAGAAGCATCGATTGGTTGGGAGACAGAGAAGGTGGGAGAGGAGGACAAGGTGATGGCAGCTGTGATAGGAGCTTCTTTTCGAGGATTGGCACGAGGGGTGAGGGGAGGATCGGCGATGGGAAGCAAGGGTGGGGACGAAAAGATGTTGGTACAGTCGTCGAGATGGGGGTGTGCAAGGTCCTTGTCAATCCATCCATAGATAGATGAGTCGGACAAGCCAATAGGGCCGAAGAAATGCTGCGCCAAGGAGCGCCCCGAATCAGACAAAGAGCAGCCATGGAAGTGAAGGCGAGCCCACACAAACTATTGTCGAGATCAGCGCTGTAGCTGTGGTTACAGAGATCAAGACACTCACGGGATGAGCTGAACCGCTTGACCTGCGTACACTCTCAAAGCGATTCTCACTGAGATCTTGCCCCTGCTTAGACACCCTCCTTCTCTTAGCCTTTCGTTGTTTGCCTGCTTCCTTGCTGCCTCTGATCCCGGCCCATCTACACATACTTGTAAACACTCCCGCCAAGGTCCCACCCTGACCCTCGCTACTTGCAGACTCGATCTTGAGGTTGGGGAGAGGCGGAAATGGTAGAACGTGGGATGGGGCCGGGAGGGAGAGGGTAGAGGCGATGGCGAGCTCAAGACATGTCAGGGCTCCGTCGCCTGCACCTGTCATCCCTGCATCTCTGACAATCGGCAAACCAACGCGCAAAATGTTTGGAGCTGAGCGGTCCCGTTCAAGTGGCAGATAGATTTCAGACGAGCTCAAAAGCATGATGTTCGCCGTGTCGAATAGTCTGTACTTCTCCCAGAACTAGCCTCAATGTCAGTAGCTACTCTTTCAGTCAGATGAAGCACATACCTGCGCTATACAATTCGCCCAGTACTCCATACCCGGGACCTCTGCTCCATCTTCCTCAACAACCCCCACCGACTTCTCGCCCGTCACGATAACCCGCATCCCTCCTGGCTTTGACGCCTCTTCCAAAAGTCGCTGCACTCTTCCGGCGTGATCGGAGGTTTCCCTGAGCATGCTGGGCATTATGGTCTCAGAGAGTGCTTGGACCTTTCCATCTACCTTTCGGACACAAATCCAGCCACGCACCCCACCATTCCTTGATCCACATGACCGCCACTCGCCGCGGAGGTTCTTGTCCAGGGCTTTGCTCTCCATGACAAGGTTTACATATCTCCAAAACGTCTCCTCCATCATGACAGGGAGATCGCGCTCACTGTAGATATGCTGATTTCCCGCTTCACCGTAACGCTCGTCCAAAGCCTGTTTCCGGAAGATGATGGTCAACAGTCGCTTTGAAGCAAGGATGTGAGCGGGCAATTGATTATCAAGAGCCGCGAGGAAGCGATCATTCATCCCCGTGTCCTTGATGATTCGTACACCGTCCCCTTCAGTCTCGGCGAGTACGTCGACGGAAGACACCGTGGAATCGCGGGATACCTCTTCATCGATAGATCCGAAGTCGAGGGCGCTGGGGACGAATTCAGCCATGATTTGCCGGACGGGCACGCGCGGAGTGTCGCCGGGGGGTTGGAGGGGTCCGAGGGGTGGCATAGTCAGAGGCATGATGTTCCCTGCGGCGTGCTGTGCTGGTAATAGATGTAAGCTGATGCAAGTAGAGTCAAAGTAGAATTGTTGTTGGTGGCTGGTGGATTCAAGGTGGATTGTTGTCGTAACTCCTACCGGCTTCAGTCTTCCCTGGCCCGGGTATGTGGGTGGGCGGGAGGCGCCGACTTCGCGTTCTGCATCTATTCATTCATACATGTGTCCAGACAAGCTGACATGGTAAGTCTCATCTACCCTCAGCTACTCTCTGAGCACTCGCACTGGCCGCCATTGAGATGCCCTATGACCGGAATGTGTCAAGACGGAAGCCGACTTTGAAACAAGGCGAGACAAGGTAGAATCGACATAGCTACAGGTACTTCGTTCCTACCTAGCTGCTATTCACTCGCTTGTCCTCTTCCAGCGCCGGATAGACGAGATCGATCGCTCCTACTATCTGCTCTGTTTTGAACACCAATGTCCAACCAGGTTTCGAGAACGGATAAGCGCCCGAGCAGTCGTCCATGCGCTTTGGGGCGGTCGGGAGGATGGCAGCACCGCCAGGTCTTTGTACACACCGACAATCGGTCCGCGATACCATGGCCATCCCAGGTGCTCCTCCGCTGCTTGTAGCTCGCAGCGGCGCGCGACAGGTAAGCCTTTCCCTACCATGTGGCTTCCCAGCAAGGACAATGCACTCGCTGACGCCTTGTCTCGTTATCAGTGGACCGAGGTGACCGCCAGGCCTTCTGGGCAGCCCTGCGATGGCGTCAGTCCCTCCATCTCCCGCCGTCATCTTCGACCGCCGTCTCCCACCCACCCGCCCACTTCCTGGCCGGTCCTACGTTACGTCCCAAATCATATATATATAGGAATGTTACTGTCAATCCTCTTGCATCTTTCCGGCCACTACCGCGTCCCCCTTGAACTGGGTAGCCTCGCTAGCACTGCCCATCCACTGTCCGTTTCTACGTCGCGGGCGTACGGGCCTATCTTGTCAACTTCGGCTTCCCCCACGGGGGCTTCAACGACCCCCTCTTTGCCCGCATCGTTCGGAATCACCAGCACACCGGCTCAGCAAAAGATTCCCCTGCTCGTCACCTCTGTCGACTCCTTCACCCAGCGCGTGCTCTCCTATCTCCAGATCCTCGGTTTTGAGCATGTCTCTGTCCGGCTCGCCATCAGCAACGAGGCGATGCTGGAATCTGCCGAGAGCTGGCAGCCCGATATCGTGCTGTGCCCCTTCTTGACCAATAAGGTGTCACCGAGCATCTACAACACGGTGAGTCTTCTTCCTTGTCACCGCTTCTTGCCTCCCCTTGCCAGGGACTGCTTGCATCAGCCTGGACACTGGGAGCAGGCCGCAGGAACAGCCCTGCGCTCGTCTCCGCCATTGGGCCTGTTTTGGAAAATGTTTACAAGACACCCTGAGCTGACGAGTCACCATCAGTTTCTTCCCTCGACATGCAAAATCCACAGTGGATCACCCTCGTTGTCCACCCAGGCCTCCCCGGCAATGCTGGCTCCTCCTCCCTCGACTGGGATCTGCTCGGCGACAACGGCGCCGTCCCCTTTTCCACCGACCTCCTCCCTGCCCTCCTTTCAACTCTCCCCAGCCCTGTAGCCCAGCGGCCACACTGGGGCACGATCTGCTTCCAGGCCACCGAAGATCTCGATGACGGGGTTGTCGGGGCCCCCTCCCTCCCATCGGCTCTGTCACCAAAGCTGGCGTCTACCAGAACCTCCACTCGCCTGCTGTCATGACGGCTGTCATCACTGCTCTCATCAGGGTGTATGGAAAGACTGCGGGTATGGATAAGGCAGAGGGGATGAATGTCGCGCCGGAGAAGGGCTGGCAAGAGCTGAGTGTCTCTTTGGGAGAGAGATTTTTGGGCGGAAAGACGCACGAGAGGCCGTTGCTCCAGTTTGCCAAGCGAAAACCGGACTGGGAGAAGCATACGGCTGAAGATGTGCTGAGGATCCTCAACGCTAGCGACTCTCAGCCGAGCGCTATGCTGCACCCTCTTACGTCTGCCTCCAAGGCATCGCTCTTTGCGTATGGCGCCCATCTCCACAAGAAGCAAGATATCGACAACGAAAAGAAGACTCTAAAAGCGGAAGACGCGGGAGTAGAGGAGATTGAAGAGATGGAGGTGAAGTGGTATTTGAGAAAGATGGATGTATGCAGAATGCGGATTATGTGCTTGCATGGGTGGTCATAGATGATGGGGTGAGTGTTTTCTTTCTGTCTGACGGGCGAAAGTCTGACTACGATGAAGGCAATGACGCACGCAAGACTGTTACTCTCAAGGAAGGGCATGAACTTCAAAAACGTCTCATCAGTCTTGCGTGGTACGTTTTCCATCACTCCCTCGTTGATCTTAGCTAAAAGACATTTCCACAGAACTCATAGACAACATCGGTGACGACGAAGAAGAAAAAGGAGAAGCAGCAGAAGGCGAAGCAGGAGGAGCAGCATTGCAGAGGATGATTCTGGAGCAGTTGGTAGCATTTCTGGGAGGTCTGCGATATGGTCTGATTGAGATGGGTAATGAATACAACTATTTGCGCCTTCAAGAGCAGCCTTAGTTGCCTTACGAGTAATGTCGTCTTCAAGACATTCTCATGCTACTTGGAGCACTCGTTCTTGCTTGCAGCAACCTCAAAGATATATAAACAGGAGGACCGGACCGGCACTGTCCTTCTCATCAGCATCGTCAGGACTTTATAAAGCATCTATAGTAACAGAAGTGCACGAATGACGTAGAATCTCGTACAGACTGATTCGATATGATACAGTGCTTGAGATGCTAGCACCTGACACTGGTCAGCTCCAAGTCATGCCAGCGCAAGGGGGAGGCATACCCCGCCAGCAGCCAGAGAGTTTTGTTTCCGACATCTCGATTCGAGTCTCTCCTGACACCATGATCGCTGCGTCTTACCTATCCCTCCCGGTTTCAGCCAAGCAACATCTTGATATAGATGCCTGTTATCGTCCCATGGTTCACATGTCTTCTGCATTTGTAAAACGACGTATGACACAGCACCCGCGAGGATATAGCTTCTCCCCAGCCTGCTGTAGAGACCCTTGCCAGCTCCCCCTTGGTCCTCTGAGGTCTCCCTGGTGCGTAAGTACTCCCCATTCTACCGATCTTACATTCATCAATACGGCCATCCCTCCCAATCCTCTCTCTTCCACCACTGCCGAGCAGGTCCTTCCCCCCGAATACTGGACTCACGGAGATTACATTGACTACTTCTCAAGGCTTGGCCTCACCTTCGCGCTGGCCACGCCCTTGGAGGTAGATGTATTGCTTGCGCGGGCGGCCAAATCTGGCTGGGCTGGGGCGCTGGGAGGAAGGTAGGTGTCGGGGATGGGAGAGCCGGGTGATAGGCTTAGTATCATGTAACATGTGTACATTTCTTTGTAGTATCATGCAACCTAATCAGACTTGTCCGATTGCAGCCTGGACGCGGCGTAGAAAGACCGTGGGCGTGGGTTCGGTGTCGGCCTCAGGCGTCTCAAGCGTTTTACTGGAGTATCGGGGTCTATGGCCGAGTCTGCCTACGGATGCAACATCTCTAGGTCGAAGTACTCGAGAACTCTGCTTGGACTGTGACTGTGCAGCACTCTTCGCAAGCAAAGCTCAACGTGTCGGTCACGACGTGCACCTTTCGAGACACGAATTTGTGATGTATAAATGCATTCATTATACTGTACGCCTCGTCAGCTTGGCTGAAACACATGAGTGTGATATTGAATGCTCACAAATTGTTCCTCTACGTCGTTCCCTTATGTTACGGCATACTTTCCCCTCCTTACACACTCCTCTTCTCAACAGCTTTCGCAACTCCCGTCCCGGCTTGCTTGAACCACGGAATCTCGGTGAGCCATTGCTGCTCGAATGCAGAGACGTTTCGGGCGTAGAAAGATGTGGTGATTGCCTGGTTTCGTTATCAGCATTTGCTTCGAGCATAAGGGACGAGGGGACGTACGAGTTCGTCGTACAGGATCGCCGGGACTTTCTTGGACATGAGTACGCTTGAAGGATGGATCTTGACCGTCTAATCGCTCAAGTCAGCTTCGACATCATGAAACGGGTAGAATTCAAGACTCACAAGATTACCAGCCGTCTGCCTATACGTCCCATCCGCCTGAACCACCGCACTATTCATAAACAATCCACTCAACAACGCCCTCCCCACCACCCCCCACTCTGCCCCACAAGTCGTCTTCCAATCCTTCCCATGTCTCTCACACAGCTCGCGCAGCTGCGCCCGGATCTTGATCGCTTGAGTGAGTGTCTTGGCGTTGACGTGGTTGGTCTTGCACCAGCCTTGAAGTGTTTGAGAGGTGTCCAGGCCCCGAGCGGCGGAGGAGGGGTCTTGTTTAGCTTCTTTGAGCTCGAGATACGCCCTCAAGACGTTCATGCCCGTCAAGTGGTCGCCTTCGCGGTTGATAAACTTGCTCCGAGCCTCGGCGGCTTGGTCTCGCTCGCTGACCTTGTCCACCCACAAGTTACCGCCGGCATTGGCGAGCGAGAGGATGTCGATGATTTCGGCGGGACAGCCGAGGGCGAAGGAGGCGAGTAGAATACGGGCGTGGGGAGGGTCGAGAGGGAAGAGAAGCATTTGTCGGCCAATGTCGGTGAGGGATGTGGCGGAGGAGATGGCCGACAGGCCGGAGAGTTCTTGGTATGCCGCGAGGACTAAAATCTGTGGTTGGAATGTTTTTTTTCAAATGAGAAGTGAAAATCTTACTAGACTCGCGACCCGGGGAGTCGATGTATTCAAACTCGAAGGGGTTCTGGCCCATGGCAATGAGTTGCAAAACCGCAGACGACAGGTTACACCGCTGTATCTCTGGCGCATCAAACTCTGGCATGTCGCTGAAGAACTTTTCAGTGTACAGCCGATAGCTATGCCCAGCACGCTAAATTCCATCAGCCGAGGATCCCAACATCATCGAGACCCGAACTCACTTCACGTCCCGCCCGACCCGTCCTCTGCCACGCCGCCGCCCTACTAATCCCCTTCTTCCTCAAATGCTCCAGCGCCCCGCTATTCCTAAACACATACTCCTTCTCCTTCTTGTACCCCGTGTCCACCACATACGCTACGCCGGGGATGGTCATGGACGTTTCGGCGATGTTTGTGGATACAATCACGCGCCGGGTGGAAGGAGGTGGAGGGGTGAAGATTTTGGACTGGGCGGCCGGGGGGAGGGCGGCGTAGAGGGGGAGGGCTTGGAGGGAAGCGTGGGTATCGGGGAGTTGGGAGGAGGCGCGTTTGAGGAGCTCGACGCAGTTTTCGATCTCCTCGGAACCTATGATTTCACAGTCAGTCTTCGAAATACTTGTAGATGCATACACATACCAGGCATAAAGACGAGGACATCGCCCTCTGCTCCAGGGGTGCAGTGAATACTCATGACTTGTCGCGCAGCAGCTTCGATGTAGTCTTCGACAGGCTCCATAACGTGCTGCGTTGTGACTTTGTACATTCGGCCCTTCACCAGCAGAGCATCTCGCCCCCTATAGCCTAGTCAGCGGCCGTTCCATGTCAAGAAGAGCGACTTGCGTTTCGAAAAAGTTTTTAAACTTGCTCGGGTCCAACGTAGCACTCATCACCACCAACTTTAGCTCCTTCATCCTCTTCCCCGTAATCCTCTCGCCCTTCTCCTCACTCTCCTTCTGCCTCCTTGTCAACTCTTTCCTGATCCTCTGCACCTTTTTGAGAGTCCCACACAAAAAGTCGGTATTGAGCGTCCGCTCGTGCGCCTCGTCGAGGATGATAATGTCGTAATGCAGTAGCAAGTTGAGCCCTTTATACGACTCTCCTTCCACCTCTTCCTCGTTATCGCCCCCACTCAGATCCCCTGAAAGCTCCCTCATCAAAACACCCTCTGTGAGGTATCGCACCTTGGTCTCTCGACTCGTGACGTCCTCAAATCGGACACTATACCCCACCTCCCCGCCCAGCACGCTCCCAGCCTCTTGCGCGACTCTCGCCGCTAGAGAGATGGCAGGCAGTCGGCGGGGCTGGGTGATTGCTATTGACGGGCCAGGGTTCTTGAGGGGGCGGGTATATGTCGAGAGGGATAGGGGGTGAGAGCGGAGTAGTTGGGGGAGTTGGGTCGATTTACCACATCCTGTTTCGCCCAATATCTACTTGGCCGTCAGCTTCACCCCTCTGGATGTAGTGCAGAACTTGCGATGGTGGTGTCGTTCGACATGATCTCTTCGAGAATCATCTTCCGTCCTACACTGCATGAGTATCTCGTCACAAGCAGTTTTGGCGCTGTTATGGCGCAAGACTCACCTTGATAGAACGGCAGATTCTTCCTCGTCTCCAACAACCTCGCAGCCTCCTTCATCCTCCCCTCCGCCCCCCCATCTTTCCCCTTCACCCCATTCACCTCCACCCTCTTCTTCTTCTTCGCACTCCTCGGTCCCTCACCATCCCCATTCACTTTCGGGCTATGACCGTGTTTCCGTTTCGCTTTCAGCTTGCGCACCGGGGTCGACGGCGCTGAATGCTCTTCATGCAAGTCTCCATCGTCTTGGTCGTCGGCGTCGAGAAAGTTGGCGACGCGGGACTGCTTGGGCGAGGTAGGGGGTAGAGGGGGCATTGTTGGTTTTGTGTGGGTATGCATGGGGAGAAAGAGGAGATCAAATGGTTTTGGGATAGCGCTACGAGGATCATTTTTCTGCGAGACGCGTTGTTACGTACGCACGTGACTTGGATCAACGCATTGTTTGGTTCCAAAAATCTGCCTCGAGTATGGCGAAGCCGGTACTTTACAACTACTCTGCTCTGGAATATGTCTATGTATGGTTAGTAAATTGACACTTGAGGGGTATGTGTTGACATCGAAGCAGAGATCTCGAGAAGAACCGCCAAGTACGAGGGCGAGCAATGGAGGCTGCTTCTGAAGAGATCACCAGAGCATGTCCAGACAGCATACCCTACCCTTGCGGGGAAAGAGTACGAAGTTTCAATTAGCAGCTGCTTCCTAATCTGTCACAGCCCACCAGTCAAAGCTGAATAGGGTCTAATGCATCCCCTCTACTCCTCCTTCCTATGCTTTGCCAAAATCCCCCTAATCGCACTCAACGCATCCGTCCTCTGCTTCCTCATCGCCGCCCTCCCCTCCTGCTGCTGCTCCTGCGTCCTCAACACGTCTCCCGCCTGGCCCAGTCTGCGCTCGCTCCTGGACGCGCCGAGGATGGGCCCCGTGCTGGCTGCGGCCTGCTTTTGTTCTTCGGCGAGGAGCCAGTCGGGGGTACCGATGTTGGCAGAAGACGATGAAGGACGGAGGATGGCAAAGTTGATATCGAAATGCGCCGAATCAAGCGGCGACGGCGCCGCCCCACCCGCTCCGCCCCTCCGCCTCGTCCACCTCGCCCCCGCGCCCGACTCTGCCAAAGCCAGAACCGTGGGGCTCCCCGTCGCCCTAGCATCGACAGCTTTGAACCTGCCCCGCCCGTGCTCGGGCGTCTGGCGGGAAAAGTCGACGAGGGTTTGTTCTTGGTTTGTCGCGAAATCGGGGTGGTAGCTCGATCGAGTGGTGAGGCCCGTCACGCCTGCGGCGCTGACGACAAGAGGCCTGTTTGTCGACCCGCCCATGTCGACCCTGCTCCCCTTGTTTGCGTTGCTAGCGCTGACGGGGTTCAGAGCGTGCCCAGGGAAAGACGTCGTGGGGTTGAAATCGTTCGGGTTCGGAGGCAGGTTGGCGTAGGTCATACCGCGGAGAGGGTGGGGCACAGAGAGGATCTTTTGCGAGGTCGTCGAGGCGCGGTTGGCATTGTGGATGGACGACTCGAGGCTCGAGATGGAGTGCAGACGAACCTTGCCCCCGGTGGACAAGTGCACAAGCGTCTTGTCTTCAGGCAAGACGAGCGTCTCCTTGGTCGTCTCCGCCATCCCCTCCAGCCTCTCCTCCAAAAACCTCTTTCGCTCGCCCCTCACCGTGTCGAGGTACTTTTCAAACGCCTCCTCGCTCAGACTCTCCACATCCCGCACCCACTCTTCCTTTTCCACAACCTTCTCCACCATCGCCGACGCCGTCTCCCAATCTTCCGCCCCCCCATACCCATACCCCGCCCCCGCCGCCGAGCGCCTAAACTCTCTCGGCGCCTTTTCCTTCGCATCCCACCTCACCCTCCCGCTGCCCCACGCTTCCATGAACCGCGCCTCCCGCTCGGCCGAGCGCCAGTCGAGGTCGTACCCCGGCCCAGCATCGAGCGAGGAGAACTTGATGTAGCGGGGGCCTTTTGTGCGGTGGACGGGGAACTTGAGGCCCCAGTCGGCGTGGCGGGTTTGGGAGGAGGGGGTGGTGGTGTAGATGCGGGTGATGAGGGGGTCGTAGGTGGCAATGTTGGCTCTGCGCAGGAGCTGGGGGAAGGGCGAGGACATGGCTGCTGGATATGAGCGTGTGGTCTCTTGTGCCCAGCATGCACTCACTGGCTTCCTTCAAATGCCTTTTCGAGCTGGCTGAAAAGTATAGTCCCCTCTGCGAATTCCTCAAAAAGTCAGCGCTGGATGCCGCACACAAAATGCACAAAAGCCGCCCCCATATATTCCCCCGAAACTCATAAAAGCGCCCATTCGTATCTATCTCCTCTCTTCTTCTTCTTCAACAAACATAACAGCGTCCACAATTCCCCATCGGTGCTGAGCCACCTCTTCCCCTCGGGGTCGAGCGAGGCTGCTACGACCGCTTTGGGGCCAGACAGGACGTCGTGATTGACGAAAGCCATCGGTTCTTCGGAGCTGGCGGTGACTAGGGCTACGCGATTAAAACAACTTTGAGGAGAGCAATCTCTGAGTCAGAGTCACCTATGAGTAGCCACATTTCTTACATAGCAGCCTTGTTGAATGAATCGTCTTGCGCTCCAATAGTCCAATGGGATTGGAACCTGAAAATGATCGCGGAGTCTAAAATCCGAACGCAAGCTGCCATCTACCATCACCCAAGTCTTAACATCAAGATGATCTTTCATTGGGTCACCCGCGCCAAGTATCTCTCCGACGAGTTTGGGGACAATGACACCCACCCTCATCTCCAATGTCCCGTATAATGATGTCCTGCATTGCGGACCTTTGAACTCCGAAAGCTTTTGCTTCGATGTGCTCAGTGACGATTCAGCTTCCAGTACTATATTGTTCGGTTCAAGGGACCCGATGGGGCCGCGGTATGTGCTCTCTATTCCGGTGGCGAAGCACTGACGCGCGTTCACAGATATCCCGCAGAGACTTTTGCAAAGCATGGGCCCTTTCCCGTCGGACAGTCGCTTTTCTAGGCGGCCTCGAATCATCAATACAAGATTGGGGTCTTGAGCAGGAATACACAGAAGATTAAGAGACCATCTCTGAGCTGCTCCGTAAAGTAAGTCTTGTATCCGGTAAAGCAGTATCAACAGCTCATTCTTCTGCTTTGGAACAGTACAAGTAAGTCTCTCTCAGACTAGTCAAGTCCCTTGTACATCCACTGATTCCAATGTTAGACGAACTCAGGTTTGTCGTGCAACATATCAGTTCCTGGGAACGCATCGGTCATCTGCCCTTTATTCACGCCCGTCTCCCACCCAACTACAGATCCCTCATAACCAACCCCAGCAAACCTCGCTCTCGTACGATGGATCCTCAAAGGCGTGGGCAATTGGGTCCCGCTCGACGCTTATTGGAGTTGTGAATCGCCTTTCAATGCGCTATACATCCTTTACGTCAAGAAGACACTGGAGCTATACGAAGAAGGTTTCGAGAATCGGTGGTTTTGCTATGTGGGATAAGTGGGGGCCGGATCCGGCTGAGTACAAGCTGTACCGCTTCCCGAGGGATATTTCTATCAGTGAGAGTGAATTGCAGTTGCGGAAGAAGAGTGAAGGTGTGAACTTCGGGGATCCACTATCGGAATTTGGTGATATGTGAGTCTGCTGATATCGATCATCATGTTCTATGCTCATGGAGGTAGATCACGAACTCCAGTCCGGGGCTACGATGAGTGACCACGATACAAGAACAGCGGTATATGACTGCCGATCAGGAGATGTAAGTCTTGTTTGTCGAGTGTATTTTGCAGAGTCAACCCCCCCTTCGCTGTCACTGTCATATAGTCCCACTTTCATCACGTTATCTCTCAATTCAGCACTTCCAAATTCGGCACCTCTCTCTTCCAGCGCATCCTTGCCTATCTCCCAATCCCCCTCCTTCTCCTTTGGTCTGTTTGGTATCCACCTTTGCCTTTGCCAAACTAGAGACGCATACTCTACCCGCTTGTACTAGCTTCTCCCTGACCGGTACATTTCTCCCGCTTCCTCGAGTCCGAGCATCAGCTGATACATGCATAGCGTCTCTCAATAAGTCTCCCAACTCATCCTCACACACGTCATCCAATCTCATACTGGGACGGCATGATGATCTCCCCCCTCGTAATGGGCGCTATCACGGTGGTGGGCCATTTTTGCCCTTCCATCTCCAACAATCATGCAGAGAATCCAAAGCTGACGGGAATTCAGCGAGCTTCTCGTCCAGTCTTCCGCTGTCGCAGTCGAGGTCTCCATCTGGATGCCTTTCGTTGTCGCCTTGTTCAAGTACGAATGAAAAAATGGGTGGACCATGTGAAGGCGGAGTTAGCGTTTGGTCGACGACATTGGAGAATGCGAAAACGAGGTGAGAGAAAAGGGCTGGGACGGGGATAAATACGGTCAAGGAGAGACGGTCTGGGCGCGGGGGCATGTCGCAAGTCGTACTCCTCAGGTCTTATCGTGCGAGAGTGAGAGGTCAGTGAGCAAGCCAACGGCGGGAGAAAAAGCTGCGTAAAAGATGAGAAAATCGTCAAAATCGATGCAAGACACGACTTGTTTCTAGACTGGAAATTGCTTGCTACAATGCCATCATACTCGTCTACTGATACTGATAGCTGCATCTTCTGACGCACGACTACATCCTACAAACAACAAGCGAAGGCGTATACCCTCGTGATATATATAGTCACATGAACAGCTTGGACTGGCTCGTCTATCTGGACGCTCGAAGTGATCTTGCACGAGCGATGATATCCCTGTTCCCCCAAGATCAGATGTTTCCCGAGAGGAGGGTCCTCGATAAGGTTCGTGATACAAGCCCCAACACTGCATCCCGAATCAGCTTACACACTACCCTGGAACCTCAGGATACTTACTTACTCTTTCCCATCAACAGCCAGCGCGTCTGTGCCTACCCCGGCCCATCTCGCCCATCCAAAAAGCTTCTGCAATCCAATCTCGGATCAATCCACTCGCTCCCTGGGGCCAAGCAACATCCCCGGCTTGAGGAGAACGACATGGTCGAAGCCGAGGGTGGCAAAGTGTTCTTCGAGCTGGCTTTTTATGCGGAGGTAGAAGAAGGACGAGTCGGGGGAATGCGTGAGAGCAAGATACGAGGATAGCCTGGGGATCGTCAGTTTCAAGTCCTTCGAAGGTGACACCTGATTGCGATGGCTGGAGATGAAGAATTAGAAAGCGCTCACTGTTCTGGCGCCGTCGGCTTTGGCTCTAGTAGCAAGATCCCGATTGAGCTCCGAATCCACCTTCCCCTGGGCTTTCTTCCCATTCACCCTCGTCGTTGCCGGCGCGACACATACACACCGCCCCCTTGTACGAGCTTTCCTCGGGCAGTATCGGCGAGAGCATCGAAGAGCGAGGGTTAGATTCGTTCGTCGAGGACTGTTTGGGCGTTTGTGGGTTTGCATTTGGGGAAGGGGGAAGGGATGGGGCGGCGGGTGGCGGTGGTGATGGAGAAGGGGTTTGAGGAGGTGAGGAGGACCTGAAGAGTCTCGGAGCCGGTGAGACCAGTGCTGCCGAGGATGGTGACAGGGGTAGGCGTAGACATCGCCAGTCGATGATCAAGATGCGAGGGGGTGCAGCGAATGAATGGGATATAGATACACAGAGAGGAACGCTGAGCACGCCACCGCAGGGCTGCCCAGAAGGCCGGGCGGTCCAGGCGACAAACCTCGGTCCACTGATAACGAGACAAGGCGTCAGCGAGTGCATTGTCCTTGCTGGGAAGCCACATGGTAGGGAAAGGCTTACCTGTCGCGCGCCGCTGCGAGCTACAAGCAGCGGAGGAGCACCTGGGATGGCCATGGTATCGCGGACCGATTGTCGGTGTGTACAAAGACCTGGCGGTGCTGCCATCCTCCCGACCGCCCCAAGGCGCATGGACGACTGCTCGGCGCTTATCCGTTCTCGAAACCTGGTTGGACATTGGTGTTCAAAACAGAGCAGATAGTAGGAGCGATCGATCTCGTCTATCCGGCGCTGGAAGAGGACAAGCGCGTGAATAGCAGCTAGGTAGGAACGAAGTACCTGTAGCTATGTCGATTCTACCTTGTCTCGCCTTGTTTCAAAGTCGGCTTCCGTCTTGACACATTCCGGTCATAGGGCATCTCAATGGCGGCCAGTGCGAGTGCTCAGCGAGTAGCTGAGGGTAGATGAGACTTACCATGTCAGCTTGTCTGGACACATGTATGAATGAATAGATGCAGAACCAATGCAGAACGCGAAGTCGGCGCCTCCCGCCCACCCACATACCCGGGCCAGGGAAGACTGAAGCCGGTAGGAGTTACGACAACAATCCACCTTGAATCCACCAGCCACCAACAACAATTCTACTTTGATTCTACTTGCATCAGCTTACGTCTATTACCAGCACAGCACGCCACAGGGAACATCATGCCTCTGACTATGCCACCCCTCGGACCCCTCCAACCCCCCGGCGACACTCCGCGCGTGCCCGTCCGGCAAATCATGGCTGAATTCGTCCCCAGCGCCCTCGACTTCAGTTCTATCGATGAAGAGGTATCCCGCGATTCCACGGTGTCTTCCGTCGACGTACTCGCCGAAACTGAAGGGGACGGTGTACGAATCATCAAGGACACGGGGATGAATGATCGCTTCCTCGCGGCTCTTGATAATCAATTGCCCGCTCACATCCTTGCTTCAAAGCGACTGTTGACCATCATCTTCCGGAAACAGGCTTTGGACGAGCGTTACGGTGAAGCGGGAAATCAGCATATCTACAGTGAGCGCGATCTCCCTGTCATGATGGAGGAGACGTTTTGGAGATATGTAAACCTTGTCATGGAGAGCAAAGCCCTGGACAAGAACCTCCGCGGCGAGTGGCGGTCATGTGGATCAAGGAATGGTGGGGTGCGTGGCTGGATTTGTGTCCGAAAGGTAGATGGAAAGGTCCAAGCACTCTCTGAGACCATAATGCCCAGCATGCTCAGGGATACCTCCGATCACGCCGGAAGAGTGCAGCGACTTTTGGAAGAGGCGTCAAAGCCAGGAGGGATGCGGGTTATCGTGACGGGCGAGAAGTCGGTGGGGGTTGTTGAGGAAGATGGAGCAGAGGTCCCGGGTATGGAGTACTGGGCGAATTGTATAGCGCAGGTATGTGCTTCATCTGACTGAAAGAGTAGCTACTGACATTGAGGCTAGTTCTGGGAGAAGTACAGACTATTCGACACGGCGAACATCATGCTTTTGAGCTCGTCTGAAATCTATCTGCCACTTGAACGGGACCGCTCAGCTCCAAACATCTTGCGCGTTGGTTTGTCGATTGCCAGAGATGCAGGGATGACAGGTGCAGGCGACGGAGCCCTGACATGTCTTGAGCTCGCCATCGCCTCTACCCTCTCCCTCCCAGCCCCATCCCACGTTCTACCGTTTCTGCCTCTCCCCAAACTCAAGATCGAGAATGCAAGTAGCGAAGGTCAGGGTGGGACCTTGGCGGGAGTGTTTACAAGTATGTGTAGATGGGCCGGGATCAGAGGCAGCAAGGAAGCAGGCAAACAACGAAAGGCTAAGAGAAGGAGGGTGTCTAAGCAGGGGCAAGATCTCAGTGAGAATCGCTTTGAGAGTGTACGCAGGTCAAGCGGTTCAGCTCATCCCGTGAGTGTCTTGATCTCTGTAACCACAGCTACAGCGCTGATCTCGACAATAGTTTGTGTGGGCTCGCCTTCACTTCCATGGCTGCTCTTTGTCTGATTCGGGGCGCTCCGTGGCGCAGCATTTCTTCGGCCCTATTGGCTTGTCCGACTCATCTATCTATGGATGGATTGACAAGGACCTTGCACACCCCCATCTCGACGACTGTACCAACATATTTTCGTCCCCACCCTTGCTTCCCATCGCCGATCCTCCCCTCACCCCTCGTGCCAATCCTCGAAAAGAAGCTCCTATCACAGCTGCCATCACCTTGTCCTCCTCTCCCACCTTCTCTGTCTCCCAACCAATCGATGCTTCTTCAGCAGTCGACCTCGAATTCTCTATAGGATCATTGATCGACAGGGGGCGCCTTTCTGATGTCTAGTCCCTCACTTCCAGAGTTCCAGCCAATCATCCTGACGATCTGCCCCCGCTCGTCGTCAAGACCATGCGTCCCAGCACTTTTGACGACGCAAAAGGATCGGCAGGGTACGGGACAGGTGCCGGGGCGGTGGATGCTTGGGAAGCGGAGGTAGAGCTTTACGGGGGGGTGCTTTCTTGCCTGCAAGGCCATATCGTGCCCCGGTGTTTTGGAGCTCCACGGGGCCTGATGTATGTCAGTCGAGAGTGGGAAAGCAGGGAGATCAACTTTCTGATTTTGGAGCGTGTGGGCAGTGCTGTTTGTGCTAAGGACGAGGACCTGCCGCTGCTTCCTGAACAGACGAAGTGAGTTCCTTGCGTGACGCTGCTACTAGTACAACGTTGACTGATACTCTCTCTGAAGGCTCGCTATCTGTTCACTCTATGAAGCACTGCATAGCGTTGGGGTTATTCATGGAGACATCAAACGCCGCCACATCCGTCAGCGTGCAGATGGTAGTCTGTGTATCATCGACTTTGAGGGTGCGAGACGAGTGTCGGATGGGGCATGGGAGGATGAGATGCTGGCGGATGAGATGGAGGAGGTCAAAGCCATGCTGGGGTTCGGAAACGACTAGTGCACTTCCAGTCCCATGTACCGATTTGATTTTGGGCGCCGATGCACAGCCCCGTGGTGCAGAAAATGGTTCTGAAAATTGGGTGAGGGAACCGCCGTGATCCGTCATCACCATTTTATCTTCAGTCTTTCTGTCACATTTCCATTGACTAATTCAAGCACTGTCTGCCCCTCTACTCCATCCTCAAACTCTGACAACAACCGAAGATCACTCTTCCACACTCTACGCGCCACCTCTCTCGTGCACTACCCCAAAAGACCCTAAACCAACACCTCGCACACGCCCCTCACCACCTACAATGCCCGAGTCCCATCGCCTCCCGCCCATTCTCTCCGATTCCCCTGTCATAACCACTCGGCAGATGCTGGCCAACTTCGTCCCTGAGAATATGGACTACGGTCATATCTCGGCAACTTCGACCCGCGCCCCAAGCCTTGGGAGCGGGTTGGGTGAGGACTAGAACTTGGGCTGAACACTTTGTCGTTGACTTGCAGCATGCTTCTTCTTGGTCATCGCCATGGGCCTGGGGATCTCCTCGGTCGATTCTTCAGAGAGTGTACAGGTAGGTGATCGATCCCTGTAAACCCCCGTCCTTGGCGCGTAGGCGTTTAGGCGGCTTCAAGTTCGAAACCAATGATCGATGCAAAGGCGTCGAGAGTGCTGAGAATTGCGGGGATATACGCACGAGCTCGACCGACGAGACGTAATGAGTGAGGCAGGCTGGAGGCTGCGAGGGAGGACCGAGTAGAGTCAGCGGCAACATCCGTCAGCGGCAGAGCCAAGCGTCTTGTCTCTCTTTTCCTTTCACCTCCAGCCTTTGTGACTTTTGACTTCAGAGCATGCGCCGTACCCCACCTCTCCCTCTCATCATCCTACTCTCTGCTCATCCCGTCTACCCATAGACCCATGAACAACCCCCTCGCAATGGACACAACCTCAACCACCCCCAGCACCATCCCCACCACCCAACAAGTCTACACCACCCTCCGTCCTCTCCTATTCGCACCCCGCTCAACGCTCTCGGCTGTGTTCCAGCTCCTCACCCCTTTCCCTTCCCCTTCTTCATCTCAACCGCCAACGCCATCCCAGACACCATCCCAATCTCAGTCTCAGTCTCAGTCTCGCTCGCAACCACAATCCCTCCCCAACCCCCTCTTCCCATCCTCCCCCTCCTACAACGCCCGCATCCAATCAACCTGGCTCACCCACACCAACAACACCACCAACAACAATAACACCCCCTCCACCTACCCCTCCATGGCCCAATGGCGCGGCCTACGCACAAAACGCTTGTCGCAAGCAGGCACCAGCACGTCGCCAGAGGGCAAACCGTTGAAAGAGGCGAAATTGCAGATTGATAGGTTGGAGAGGACGGGCAAGTTGGGGGTGCTGGATAGTGCGCTTTTTGGGTCTTTTGCGGAGGACAAGGAGGAGAAAGGAGAGAGGAGGGAGAGGGATGGTGAAGAGGATTATTACCCCCAGACGTTCGGTGATCTGCTGATGGATAGTCTTCTTACTGGTACCGCGCAAGATATGAGTATTGCGGAGGAGGTCTTGAGGGATGTAAGGGAGAGAGGGGCGAACGACTTGAAAGAGAGGTTGGAACTGTTTTTGAATGCGGCGAATGCGACCCGGGACAGGCGACGAGTTGATTCATCGCTAGAGACAAGTCCTCAGGGCTCTGGATCTGCTTGAAACGTTTATACTTTTCTGTGTGTTCAAGCAAGGAGGATACGGGAAGCCAAGAGTCAAGAAGCAGCGTGGAATGATGCATCACACTGAGACTAGGTACAAGCTCATGGTGTTGAAGGAAAAACTATACAGATATAATATTAGAACAGAGAGGAGAATGCTCTGCAACATAGTCAGCCTGGGCGAAAAATCAACTAGACGATCAAGACACACCTTCTTGACGTGCCTAGTAGGCGAGCTGTCGGGCCTTGAAGCTGTTGGCGCCATAGAGGATACCAGTGTGACGAGCAGCAAGAGCGCGCTGAGAAGGAGACCCGCCACCACAAGTGCTAGTACGCATCAGTCAACGTTCGAGTAGCAGAGGACAAGAGACGTACCAAGAGTGAGGGTTCCACTCGTGACCCTGAGGACAAGTAGAAGGCTCCGGGCTGTGCTCATTCTCGGGCTCACACCTGTCACTGCGCAAGACCCATCCGACCAAGGGGCAGAGAATGTCGCCGATGGGGTCGCTTGGCTTCGAGTTGTCAATGCAAGTGGATGAGCGCTGATGGTACCAAGTGCCTTCAGGACAGCTGCCCTGGACCTTGTCGCACTTCTTGGTCTTGTCGTTGAAGCTGTAGCCTTCGCTAAAGGGGTGTCAGCATTGCACGAGGGGCAGAGAGGGAGGACATACCCGCAGTCGCAGGGAGCAGTCTCGGTGGGAGGGATACAGCTAGAGCCGGTGTCAGCGTCGGTGCGAAAGGTGGCTGACGAAAAGTCTCACCACTTCTCCTCCTTGTGCATCGACCAGCCCTTGGGGCAAGTGAGGCCATCCTCGGGGCTGTGAGAGGTGTCAGCAATGGGTGGGGTATCAACCAACATGGGACTCACTCGGTGCGGTTGTCGTCAGAGCAGCAGAAGACCTTGCCAAGGACCTCGCTGAGGAAGTCGCCCTTGTTGGAACACTGGTCGCGGACGCTAGAGGGCGCACCGAGGCGGAGGTCGAGGCCGACACCGACATTGACCTTGGCACCGAGGTCGAGGCCGAGCAGGCCGGTGGCAGAGACGGAGCCGGCGACGGCGAGGAGGGAGAGGACGTTACCGAAGAGCATTGTGGGTGATATAAGAGAAGGTAGGTAAAGAGTGACTGGAGTTGGATGAAGGGTTGGTGATTGGGGGGGTGGTGGAAGAGGAGACAAAAAAAAGGTGGGATGAGAAGAGAAAGAGGGGGAGAGATAGAATTGGGGCGGTATATATATGGTACGGGGTGGGGATGGGGGTGGAGGTGGAGGTGGAGGGAGGGAGGTCCTTTGGTGGTCCGTGCACGGCCTGGGCTTCTAGTAAACAATTAAACAAAGGCACCGCCGCGCCAAGAACCGCCAGAACCACGGGCACAGATCTCACACCGCAGAGGTGGCGGTTGGATGAGATCTCACCGTACAACCTTGCAGTGTGGCACAATCCAACCGCCGAGCTCGTACAACAAAGGAACTGGGGAAAGTTCCCGAGAAGGTATGTCATGGGTGGCAACATCTCCTAGTATAATGTGGGAAACGCGACGTCGGGGCGAGTGTGTTCTGTGACCCGTCGGCCACAAACTCACAGCAATTTTGCACATTTCAATTCTGCGACTGTCTCCGCTGACTGAACAATTCAATGTCAGCCATGAGCACTACACAAGAGGCCCATCAGTATACAGGATGCATAATCTACATCCCCCTCCCAAAAGTAACAGACACAGTCTTCCGTCAGAACATATCATCATAATGTCCAAAGAACAAGATAAAAAGACTCTCGAGGAGAACGGTATCAGTTACATTGATGGCAGTGGGACCTGCTTCCGTTATATCACCGACGTATGTACTCTTACGACGACTGTAGCGGTACGCGAAACTGACAGCACCGTCATTTGCATGATGGGATTGTACAGACTGACGTGAACGGTGAACCGATAGGTTCTAGGTTCGAGCCTCTCAACTTACCTGCCATCTCATGGTATGGCGATGGAGGTAATATCAAGATGTCTGATAGAGATGCTCTCGATCAAGCAAGGGTCCGCGCATACAGTAAGCTCTGTTTCTCTCTATATTACTGGAGTGCCTGTGATGCGTTGAGAATCCCAGAAATCCAGTCATCGTCAATGAAGCGACCTTAATGGTACATTTTATGCTGATTCTATCCCTTTCTGTAGATAGAGGTCAGAAATCCAGGGTCAGACAAAGTCGAAGGGAAGGTCTTAACACGACCGGCGGGAAGAAATCACGCCGCAGAACTGATGATAACCACGCCGACGGGGGCGAAGGCTCATCGTCAACTGCTGCTGCAACAATGCCAGAAGAAGATCTCAGTTTGTCTTATGAACTCATGACCACTGACCAGGACGACTTTTTCAACAGCATGACTGCCGAAGAGCTTCAGTTTTTGGGATACGGGACGGGACCGTATCAGCCGTCTCAATATGATGACGGCTCGATGATGGTAGATTCTTACCCACCAGATGATGGAGCTGCTTCTGTCCCTTACAACGAGGAGCTGGATCCTGATTCTGCTTTGGCGCAACAGTTTGGGGAAGTATTCTACCAGAGCTTCCAGCAGCCGCCGCCGCAGTAATCATAGAGACGACGGAGAGTACAGGACACTACGTATATTATGAAGCAGGCAGTGATTGTCAGTCAGTGTATTGCCTGCTGGGCATTGTCATTTCCAGACTTCAGTACGTGCTGTACTCGCCCTCGTACCCCTGCATATGAAGCACCAGGCATTTGCTAGCATCGTTACAAGGCTCGGACAGCCGACCATTAGCGGAATCAAATTGTCGACTAGAAAGCAGGTCGCCAACGTCGCATGTTCTCTTTCTTGTTTTCCATCGCCTGACCGTTCCATCCATCTTTGTGTATACACGCAGCGCCAAATAACCTTATACCATCCCCTATAATGCCCTCCCGTTCACGATCGCTGGGAGCCATCTTTTCTGAGCCTGGATTCGCCGAGGTCTTGGAGGCCATATTCCACAGGCTCATCCTGCGAGATACTCTTGCTCTCATTCGCGTAAGCATCCTCACCTTATATAACGTTCTGCAACTGACATGGATGCCCCATCTAGGTGAACAGAAACACGCGCAATGTCTTCAAGTCCTCGTCCCATCTCCAATACACCCATCTCTGCCGAAAACATTCTTCTCTACCCCCCTCAGCAGCCGCTTCTAGACATCCACCATCAGCGAGACTGATCAAAGAGCTGGCAGAACGCGAGCGTCGTCTGGAGGAAATCACCCCCGTGGGCTCCTCGACTTACCGCCTGTCTTCTCGGGTTATCGCTTTCGAGCAGGGCCTTATTGTGGCCGAATGCGATACCAAAGCACCGCCTCTCGGCTTTGAAGATCCCCCTCCTGAGTATATGGATCCAACAGGATGGGAGATTATCAGGGTTCCGAATGCAGAACTGGATAAGGATTCGGAGATGCGGGGCGGGATCAAGAGGCAGGATCACTGGACGTGGAGGACGGATTATGGGGGATATTGCGAGGCAGTGGCTTGTGTAGAGGACAATGTCGCTATGGTGTGAGTACATCTTGTGGCAGTCGAGCTCTCGCTGACGTGGATGAAGCATCAAGCAGTGGTTTCACGGCGAAACCCTGTCCCGGGTCGAATTCTTCTTCTACCAGCTCCTTCCTCCCCTCGGTACCCCTCCCCCAGAAGACGGCAACTTTGATCCCATCATCCACCCCGATGCGAGGATTCCCTGCATCCAGGTCGTCCTTCCCGCAGCTTGGCCCCAGTCCGCAGAACTCAGTCATTACAAGCTATGCCCCGAGGGACGGCTAGCGGTGCAGTTCGAAGCCGGAAGAGACTTGTACCAGAAACATCCCTCAGGGAGGGGTCGGAATGACTTGATGAACAAGGAGATATTTGCGGTGATCTGGGATTGGAAAGCTGGTGTCTGTCTTGGCGTGAGTGACTCGATCCGCAAGAGACACGCGCGCTGACTGTGGCTTAGCAAGTACCTCTCTTCCCCGACATATCCACCGACTTTAGTGGTATCTATCCCGTGGGGCCATTCTGCGTCACGGCGACCCATCGCAAAGTCCCCTCCCTCAAGCATCCCGAGCTTTACGAATCAGTCGTTCGACCCTATACCAGCTTTTCGACCGAGGCCGATGAAGACGGTTATCTCACCCAATTCTCACTCGACTTTCACACCCTGTTGCCCTTGCCCTTGGCTTTTCCCCCAGAACACCACAGCCAAGATTCGACAGGAACCGAGCCGCATACATGGCGCGCGGGGTACATTCCCTATTGCCTACCATTGGTCTCATTCGACTTGCCTTTCGAGGCGTCGGCAGAGTTTGGGACGGATGTTTACAGCATCTGGAAAGACTTTTACGTCGTAGGAGCGCGGTATAAGAAAGAGCTGCATAATGGCGACCTGAGAGGCTTGCTGCTGTTCACGTGTCATTCGGTGGATGCGCCGACGAATGTCGTCGACCTCAACTTTGTTTTGCGACATCTGACAAAGAGGCTTGTGGAACAAGCTCAGGCGTGCCTTTCCGGCGCCGGGCTTCATCTCCCTCTCTTGTCGGTGTTTGCAATGCCCACAAGCACTCCAGATGTCTCTCGCTTAACCCGCGTCGAGCAGACAGAATGGGCATCTTCCGTCTTGACCATGTCAACCTACGCCAACAATCTCAATATGCGGGGCGTCTGGTCGCCGTCCTCCGTCATCCACAGCGACATGCCCGAACTAGTTCCCTATCTTCCAGAGATGTCCCATATCAAGCTGGAGGACTATCCCGGCACGGCCGAAATCAGACCGGCATCCATGGAGGGCTGCAATCCTTTCTCCGGGGAGTTTGGCGCGAGAGAGGTGAAGGTGATTGAGCTGGGGCTAGAGATGGAGGCCACGGGGGCGATATTCGTGTTTACCAACTACGGCGGGGATGCGGCTCGTGTCAAGCCGTACGCAGGACCAAGACCCGACGACCCGCAAGATCCCTCTACGACCCTATTCCACCAGTCCTTTGGCCCGAAAGACAACCCCAACAGCATCACGCTCAACCAGTCGTACGACGAAGAGATGGAAACCCTCTCTGCTGAGGAACTGGGCATGGTCCTTCCCCAGGGAACGCCATGCTTGCCACAGAAGAGCAAGACGGCAATGATGTGGTTGGAAAGAGAGGGGAGATGGGCATATGACCCCGCAGATTGGGAACACCCGGCGTTTGTGAGGTTCGACGGGAGTAGTGTGATTTACGATCAGACTTCGGTGAGTGTTGGTAGGGGAAGATACGATGCTGATAGACTGGCAGCCTTCACTGTTGCATATCCTCAGGTTCTAGAGCGCGATGCTCCGGAGGACGGCGATGCTCAGGTTCGTCAATTTTGATTGCAAGGCATGCGGTTTGCGGGCCTCAGGACTTTTGGAGGATTTAGAGGCAGCAACGGAGTCAGTGATGACTTCTGTTATCTTTTAGACGCTGACTCTCGTACAGACACTTGTCCTCCTTCCCCTTGTCTTCCACTCCTGACAGTCGTCTGCATTCGGAACAACATGCGTTGGGCTCTTCGGCAGGGAAGGCGTCGTCCACAGGTCCTAACCCTCGATCCCTGGTCGCCTCCAACACCCGTCACCGCCATCATGTCACTCTATCAACTATCTCCGCCATCCCTTACAGCCCACTTTGGCTTCGAGGCTATCTGAACGGCGGCGCTAAGGCCATGGCAGAGCAGCAAGCGATGGACGAACATCGTTGTGGGGACGGTGACTCGTATCTCCAGAAGGACAAACCCTTGGTTGGCATGACTTTCGTATCTGGATCTACAGGAATGTATGGGGCTTTAGACGTTCTGTTTTGGTCAGTAACAGATTGACGTTGTCATATAGCCCTGATGTCTTGACAAAGACTTTGGCCGCTTGCGCGATTCTTTTGGGATACGTCACTTCTTTACTACTCTTTGATCAATACTGTTGCTTTGATTTCATACTCGAGCAATGGTAATGGCGAGAGATGAGAGGCGGCATCTGGACGAAGCGTGGCAGTGGCATGATGCTCTAGGGAGAGGAAGAGAGGATGGAAATATGCTGTCATGGCTGAAAGGGGGGAGGGTTGAGTGAGTGGGACGTGACGAGAGCACCGACGCGAGGAACAAAGGTCTCGACGTCTCACCGCCGGAGTCTGTTCTATGATGGTTTGGAAACCTACACGGTATGTGCACAGCATGCTCAGGATGCCCAATGCTCAAGCTTGCATGCTTACAGCCCGCCGCAACTGGTGGCTGACGATGGCCAGAAGAAGCCTCCACCTTGCGGCGAGGCCCGATCAACACCGTCACCCGCCCCGGGAAAGATATATAAGACTCCCCAATTGTATCTCTCTCTCTCTTTTCCCCACCAACAATCTTTTTTTTACTTTTCCCCCAACCACCCATACCTACCCACAGTCACTCCTTACCCACCCTCTTTACATCACCCACAATGCTCTTTGGTAACGCTCTCTCCCTCCTCGCCCTCGCTGGCTACGTCTCCGCCAACGGCCTCGGCCTCGGCTTGGGTGTCAAGGTCAACGTCGGTGTCGACCTCGGCCTCAGGCTGGGTGCTCCCTCTAGCGTCCGCGACCAGTGCTCCAACAAGGGCGACTTCCTCAGCGAGCTCCTTGGCAAGGTCTTTTGCTGCTCTGACGACAACCGCACCGAGTGAGTCTCATGTTGGTTGATACCCCACCCGTTGCTGACACTCTCACAGCCCCGAGGATGGCCTCACTTGCCCCAAGGGCTGGTCCATGCACAAGGAGGAGAAGTGGTGAGACTTTTCGTCAGCCACCTTTGGCACCGACGCTGACACTGGCTCTAGCTGTATCCCTCCCACCGAGACTGCTCCTTGTGACTGCGGGTACGTCTCTCCTTTCTCCATCATTCAACGCTGACGCCCCTATAGTGAAGGCTACACCTACAACGAGAAGACCAAGAAGTGCGACAAGAATCAAGGCAGCTGTCCCGACAACCAATGGTGGCACCAGCGTACAAATTCTTGTATCGACAACTCGAAGCCAAGCGACCCCATCGGCGACATTCTCTGCCCCTTGGTCGGATGGGTCTTGCGCAGTGACAGGTGTGAGCCCGAGAATGAGCACAGCCCGGAGCCTTCTACTTGCCCTGAAGGTCACGAGTGGAACCCTCACTCTTGGTACGTCTCTTCCTCTGCTACTCGAACGTTGACTGATGAGTACTAGCACTTGTGGTGGCGGCTCTCCTTCTCAGCGCGCTCTTGCCGCTCGCCACACTGGTATCCTCTATGGCGCCAACAGCTTCAAGGCCCGACAGCTCGCCAAGTAAACACCTCATGGTACGTTTTGCTCTCGCGGTTAGATCGCTGTTTGCTGACCATCCTCCAGAGCGTCCCCTTTGCGCTTCCTCCCTTTATATCGTTATACTAGTAGTCAAGGACAATCAATTCATTTTCTCGTAGCCTCAGCTTACACGTCTGATATCAAATGATGTATTACATTCTACGTCTACACCCTCCTCTCCCTCAAGCGCAAACCTCTGTCTCGTTTACCCATATTCGAACAAGAGAGTGTTACTTCAATTTCCTCACTCGTTCGCTGATCCTGCAAAGAATGAAAACGTCGCTCTGCCTCTGGAAGTGCTCGAGAGATTTGAGAGAATGGGTGCAATCATGTATGGAGGTGCAGGAAGAGAAAGAGAGATATAGTCAGAGGATAGGCGCAGGAAGAGGAAGCGAGAAAGAGCCAGATGACAAGGAGAATGATATGGAGAGAGAGATGCCGTCTAGGACGGATGGAGATAGTGCCGAGGAGAGTGATCTGGACAGTGATTATGAGCTGAGCCTCGGTCGGCACGTCTCTCATTCCAAGCACGGTTTCCTACTGACCAGAACTCGTCAACAAGCCTCGCGCGCCAGGGTCTTTCAACGAGCCGGTCGTGCCACCTTTGGCTTACTAGATGTCCATGATCTGAGAGAATGGGGGTCCACCTCGACACCGATGATTGTCGAGAAGGGAGCATACCTCCCACCAATATCAGGAGGAAGGGGCCGAGGTTGTTTTTGCAGCATAAAGCGGAGGTCGAGAAGGGGAATGATGAGAAGGGTATGTATACAGAGAAGATGCGCGGCTTCGCTCAACATAATGGCATATCTGTCGATATGCATCGCTCGTATCTTGGCAGGACAAGTCCTATATACAGTCATGTCATAGGGTCGCCTCGTATACGAGGCCATGCTGAATAGAGTCTGCACGTCCTTTGGGAAGATGAGCGCGGAGATGAGGTGGCCGGTTGAGTCATCTCCGCTTGGACCACCTCCCACCTCCTCCCCTTCTCCCACCTTCTCCCCACCGACTTTGATCTTTCTCTCTTATCCCATATCCCATATTCAACAATCCACCCACAACAAACATGCCCGCCAACGCGAGAAACAGCGTACGTACCGATGCTTACGTCCCCTCATGAACCGCCATCCGCCTCCCTCTCCCTCCCACCCCCTCCAGAGCCGTCTTCGCATCATGAGAACGTTGACTTACTGACTGCATTAGTACTGGCCCTACGACAACGATCCCAAACGAACCACAGTCAGTCTCTCAATGTCATTCCAGGGTCGTGCTGACTAGAACCCATCAGCTTCAAGGTCGGATCACCCCAACCTCATCTTCTGCGGCTTCTCGGCCATCTTCATCCAACATCACCCAAGCACCCGCCGGAGGAAAGGCCAAGAGAGTGGCCACTGCCTCATTGGAAGCCCAAGGCGTACGTTTTGGTAGCCCCTGAGAACGTTGACTTACTGACTGCATTAGTACTGGCCCTACGACAACGATCCCAAACGAACCACAGTCAGTCTCTCAATGTCATTCCAGGGTCGTGCTGACTAGAACCCATCAGCTTCAAGGTCGGATCACCCCAACCTCATCTTCTGCGGCTTCTCGGCCATCTTCATCCAACATCACCCAAGCACCCGCCGGAGGAAAGGCCAAGAGAGTGGCCACTGCCTCATTGGAAGCCAAAGGCGTACGTTTTGGTAGCCCCTGAGAACGTTGACTTACTGACTGCATTAGTACTGGCCCTACGACAACGATCCCAAACGAACCACAGTCAGTCTCTCAATGTCATTCCAGGGTCGTGCTGACTAGAACCCATCAGCTTCAAGGTCGGATCACCCCAACCTCATCTTCTGCGGCTTCTCGGCCATCTTCATCCAACATCACCCAAGCACCCGCCGGAGGAAAGGCCAAGAGAGTGGCCACTGCCTCATTGGAAGCCGAAGGCGTACGTTTTGGTAGCCCCTGAGAACGTTGACTTACTGACTGCATTAGTACTGGCCCTACGACAACGATCCCAAACGAACCACAGTCAGTCTCTCAATGTCATTCCAGGGTCGTGCTGACTAGAACCCATCAGCTTCAAGGTCGGATCACCCCAACCTCATCTTCTGCGGCTTCTCGGCCATCTTCATCCAACATCACCCAAGCACCCGCCGGAGGAAAGGCCAAGAGAGTGGCCACTGCCTCATTGGAAGCCGAAGGCGTACGTTTTGGTAGCCCCTTCGCCCCAGACACCGCTGACAAGCCAAAAGTTCACCGCGAAAAAGTCAAGAGTGGGAGGAGAACAATTCATGGTTGTCGGTCATTTCCCCTCGTCAACGAAACATAAGCTGACCCGCCTCCATCAGAATCCCCCCGCGTCAAAAACAGCTCCACGTCGTCCCATCGCCTCAACCCGAAACGAGCTTGCCTCCGACGACATTGACGACGGCATCTCGCCAGGCAAGGACGACGACGACGACGACGACGGGTCAGGCAACTTGAAGGATGCTATGCGAGGTGTATAGAGGCAGAAAAGATGCCATCTGGGAGCCTGCCAGTTACTGGTGACGACTTTTGGATCAAGTATCTCCTCAAGCCCCTAGAGCAGCACGCTTCTCGCCTGGGGTTAAACCCAGCCCCCCTACCCGAAACCACGTACAAGCGCCTCTCAGAGGTCCTGGACTTCGTGTTGGCCGACAAAAGCGTGTACTTTGTCTGGACAGTCAACTCCATGTCCAAAAACGTTCGGAAGCGGCTGCTCAGGCTGTTGGGGTTCTTTATGCCTACCAACTTCCAAGAGCTCTTAGCAGGCCGCAACCCCCCATCCGCCGCCCAAATTCACTCCCTCATTGACGCCAATGGTGTTTATTGCAACGAGCACGGGGTCCGAGTGGACAAGTTGGAGGGCCGTAGCGAGGTCCACAGTCGCTGTGTTGGTGCCTACTGGAAGGTAGCATTACCAAAAGGTAGCGTTCACCACCATCCGCCCCTGCGTATACTCATATATACGGGGCAAACGGCGCAGGTGAGCCCCTCCGACAACTCGATGGGGTTTCGAGTGCGGTGGGAACACCATCTGAGCGAAGTGTACAGGCATGACAAGACAAATAAGAAAGACAGGTGAGTTCAATGACGCTCTAGCCTTGATATGAACAATCTAACAGGCGTGCAGTCTTTTTACAAAAGCTTTCATCGAGTCACAAGAAGAATATCGAATGGCTTTCGTCCCCATCGTCACAGTGCCGGTACCTGTCGGTACGAAGCTCGACATCCCCTTCCGAAACGCGGTCAAATTCTTCGCTCGGCTGAGCGAAGCGATTTGCCACGAGGCATGTTCGACGATATACCGGGTTGACCCGGGCTGTGCACATACACCCAAGTCGTTCTGGACAGATTCTCCACGTGAGTACACTGGAATGAACTCCCGAGATCCCCTGAGAGAGTCTTTTGGCTTCTGGGAGCTGGGCAAGCCCCAGCGCCCTAGTCCCAAATGTTCGACCTGTCGCAAGCCCTTTGAGACGAAGACTTCCCGGGATAGACACGTACGTACGGGTTGGTGAACTGCTCATCAAAACGCTAAAGGAAAATCATAGGAGGTTGAGGTCCATGGACCGAAGGCGTTTGTGTGTGGGCACGATGGTTGTAAAATGAGGTGCACGAGTGAAAACAGGTTGGAGACGCATGTGCGTAGCGGCCGGTGAATATATCATAGAAACGCTAATGGAACGCACAGAGGAAGGATGTTCACGGGGAGAAGGAACACGATTGTGATAGGTGTGAAAGCAAGTTTAAGACCCTTGGAAGGTTGAACGAACATGTGCGTTTCGGCCGGTGGATTGCCCATCAAAAAGCTAATGGAAAGCACAGAGGAGAGATGTCCACGGGGATAAAGTGCATGCGTGCGATGAGTGTGAGAAGAAGTTTACGACCAATTCATTATTGAAGGTACATGTACGTATCGGCCGGTGGATTGCCCATCAAAACGCTGATGGAAAGCACAGAGGAAGAGGGCCCACGGAGAAGAGGAATTCGCATGTAAGATAGAGGGGTGCAAAAGAAAGTATAGGACCGAAGGATTATTGAACACACATGTACGTATCGGCCGGTGGAGTGGCCATCAAAAAGCTAATGGAAAGCACAGAAGAAGAATGTCCACGGAGAGGAAGAGCACGCGTGCGATGAGTGCGAGAAAAAGTACAGGTCCAAGACATTATTGAAAGCACATGTACGTATCGGCTAGTGGATTACCTATCGAAACGCTAATGGAAAGCACAGATCAAAAATGTTCACCAAGAAAAGACAGTGTCCTGTAGGGAGATCGGGTGTAGGACGATGTTTAGGTATCAGTCACAGGCGAGAACTCACGTACGTATCGCCTGGTGGATAGCTCGTCAAAACGCTAATGGAAAGCACAGATGAAGAGATAAGTTTGTGTGGTGATATGTCAATAAACGGTCGTCTATTATGTTTTTCTGTTACTCGAGGCCATGTGTTTGTCGACCGCTCCACTTCGTCGGACAGTTTCACCTATGTCATGTATCATCTTTATCGTTACATATCTCGACAATGGCCGATTTGATCTCTTCAGCAGTACTTGAGCATCACGACACGTACCCCGATCAGGGCATAAAGTCGGTGGCGAGAGAGTTCGATGGCCCTTCCTCCTCCCTCCCGGGCGCCTACATGCGCCGCAAAACACCCCTCCAACGCGGATAGCCACCATGGGCAGCTCTTTAAGATCCAGAAGGCGGAGGTGGTGGTACAGCTTGGGCAAGCGCTGGCTGGCGAAAGGCTGGGAATGAACTGTGCGTCGCCCTTCATCCAGCGTCATCGCGATAACGGCTCAGTTGGTTGACAACTCGAAGCCAAGCGACCCCATCGGCGACATTCTCTGCCCCCTGGTCGGATGGGTCTTGCGCAGTGACAGGTGTGAGCCCGAGAATGAGCACAGCCCGGAGCCTTCTACTTGTCCTGAGGGTCACGAGTGGAACCCTCACACTTGGTATGTCTGTTTTTTTTCTCTGCTACTCGAACGTTGACTGATGTGTACTAGCACTTGTGGTGGCGGGTCTCCTTCTCAGCACGACCCCACCCCCTCTGAGCCTCCTAAGGGTGTCACTTACCAGGATGACTGCTGCGTTCCCACCTCTCCCGACTGCCCCGAGCCCTCGTGCCCCGACTGGAACGCGCACACCAAGTACGTTTACCTCATCTCTCTGCCAACGTCGATGCTGACTGCCTTAGCACTTGTGGCGGAGCTTCTCCTTCCGAACGCGCTCTTGCTGCTCGTCACACTGGTATCCTCTACGGCGCCAACAGCTTCAAGGCCCGACAGCTCGCCAAGTAAACACCTCATGGTACGTCTTGCTCTCGCGGCTACATTGTTGTCTGCTGACCATCCTCCAGAGCACCCCTTTGAGCTTCCTTCTTTTATATCGTTATACTAGCATTCACAGACAATCAGAATCATGTTTCTCGTAGCCTCAGCGTACACGTCTGATATCAAAAGATGTATTACATTTTACGTCTACTCTCGCGATACCAGCATTAGGGAGGCATTAGCGGGGGCAATTGCATCATTACTCTCGGTGGTCCGACTTTGGTAATCTTTTTTTTACTTGAGAATGTGATTTACGTAAGCAGCTGATGTTTTCAATTCTTCGCGCCTGCAGTGATCAGCAAGAATTGTGTTTTCTGTTTCTCTACAACCACAAGCAATCCATCATGTCCGCCCAAGAAGAACACCAGGAGCAAGACCAACAGATCAACGACGAAGACATTGTCGAGGTCGTGGAGGACGACGGCGACGACATTGGCATGGACTCGGACTCGGACGGGGACAATGACAAATACGACGGCGAAATCATCATCGGCGGTCCTGGGCCTGGCGAGGAGGATGAGATGATGATGGAGGAGGAGGAGGGAGAGGGGGAGCAGCAGAGGGAAGACAACAGCGTTGGCGTAAATTGTGAGTACTGCCCGCTTGCCTGGGCATGACTGACTTTGATACAGCCGTCCACGCCGAAGGCCAGTCTGTCTTTACCATTGCTCTCCACCCATCATTCCCCAATCCCCCCTTAGCAATCTCTGGCGGTGAAGACGACGTCGGCTTCATCTTTTGCCCCATCCCTGCCGACCCCTCTGGCATACTACCGTTCACCAGCGAAACGTTTACTCCCATCAAGCTTGATGGGCACAGCGATAGTGTGGTGAATGCGGCGTTCAACTTTGATGGCGAGATGGTGGCTACGGGTGGTATGGACGGCAAGGTGGTTGTGTGGCAGAGGACCAAGCCTGAAGCTGCGAGTGAACAGGCGACTGTTGAGGAGTGGAGCAACTGGCAGAAGATTCAAGAGCTGGAGACGGGAACCGAGATTTCTGTGAATCGAGACACCCTTCGTATGACCCTGGCTAATCGGAATGTAGTGGTTACAATGGCATCCCAAGGGTAATGTCGTGGCTACAGGGTGTGAAGACGCGACCGTCTGGCTATGGAACTGTACGTGCTTGAACTTTTTTTTTTGTTCTGATCAGCTAATTCGTCCCAGTGCCATCTGGTAACACCCTGAACGTTCTCTCCGCCCACACCATGACCAGTACCGTCGGTCTCTTCACTCCCCCCGGCAAGCAGCTCCTCACAGCCTCCATCGACTCTTCCCTCATCCTCTGGGACCCCCGTGATCCTTCGCCCATCTGGAAATCCTCCATCTTTACACCTCCCAACTGGCCCGACCTCGACCCCTCAGAACACGGTATCACCGCCCTCGCTGTATCTCCCAACGGCCAGATCGCTGCCGTCGGAAGTGCAGGCGGGCAGGTCAAGCTCGTCGGTGTAGCAAAGGGTGATCAGCTGGCTACCAAGCTCGTCGGGCACGCCGAAGGCGAGAGCGTGGAGGCGCTCGTCTTTGTCGACCTCTTGAACGGTGCTACGGGCGGTAACAAGGGCGTCGTCCTCGTCTCTGCCGCTACAGACGGCAAAGCCTTCGTCTGGGACGTCGCCACAGGCCGAGTCCGCGCCGAACTGTCCCACTCTGAACCCATCACCACCGTCACAGCGCACCCCTTCCCGCAGCTCCACCTGGTCACGACCGCCTCTGCCGACAGCACGCTCAAGACGTGGGATATCCGTACGGGCGCGTTGGTGGGGACGCATACGGGGCATATGGGGGTGGTGAATGGGGTGGCGGTGGCGCCTGCGCCTGGGGGAGAGGGGAAGGCGCTCGTTAGTGCGGGAGATGAGGGTGTTAGTTTGATTTGGAAGATATAGGGTCAGGGGGTGAGGGTATGCATCTTTGGTGAGCTTTGCTTGGGATGATGGTGTACGCGAGAGAAAGAGGCTGCAGTTGTCCCGTCCTCAGCATGTGCATGTACCTCCCCGACTGCTTCCAGATTACGCCCTCCGACTGAGACCCAGGTTGAGTGTCGGAGCGGGAGGTCCGAAGAGACTGCAGCAATCAGCAGCACGGCGGGACAACTTATCCGTGTCCTAGACTTGAGAAGACCTAGATTATCGAGCAAGTTAGATTTTCTATCGGTGACGAAAGAAGACATGTCCGCTCACCATGTTGCCCACCGTGCTGACGATGCCTAGAACCAGCGCCGCCGTCGCCACCGCAAGCCAGCCCAACGCCGTCGACTCAGTGCCCTGGACCTTTCTACAGGCGGCAATTAAGGGGGGGAAGGAGAGAAGGGCGCCAATAATGCCGAAGCCTGGGCCGGCGTTGTTGTACACACGGCCACCCGGAACCGTCCGACTGATAGACTGGATCAGTGTTTTCCCTCGACATGAGACAAATTTTATCGACACTCACCCCTTCCAAGTCATCACCAACCCAGCACCCAGGAAAATCGCATGCAGCGCAAAGAGGAAGGCTAAATGTATATCAGATATCCAGGTCATGTTGGCTCGAGGATGTCACTCACAGACTGCTAGTTGTAGGCCCAGGTCTGTTCTTTGCCAACCAGCGTGAGCCTGGGGCTGCTCCTGCTGCTCCAGTTGTTGCTCCTGCTGATCCAGTTGTTGCTCCTGCTGCTCCAGTTGCTGCTGCAGCTACTGGACTTGAGGCGACTCGGATGGCGATGAGGAAGAGGGCGAGGGGGACGGGGAAGAGGGCGAGTGGGTGGGGGAAGAAGGCGAGTGGGACGGGGAAGAGGACGGGTGATGTGAGGATTCATGGGGAGGAGGGGGGTATGTGGGCAATTGGAGCTGCTCCTGGGACTGGGGCGGGGTCTGGGGTTGCGACATACTGTAGAGTTGTGATAGAGCTTAGAGATGCAATACGGTGAGGGTTTAGACAGAGGGTATGTGAGAGTTTGGCCTAGACCAAAGGAGGTTGTGCGAGCCCCTGAGGAGACGATAAATTGTTGAGGCAACGCAGAGCTTGGGCATCAGGTAGCACAAGCATGGCTCATGGGGCATGGGGCATGCCTCGTCGGGACTCGCATTGGAGATATTGAGGAAATCAGAAAGTTGCATATAGGGAAAAGGCGGAACATCGCTCTGCTGACGTGAAGCCGTAGTCGGCGGCGTGCGAGGGTTGTCTATGGCGCACAGAGCGATTCTGCCTGCTAGCAGAGGCCATGAGCTATATGGTACTGATTAGCAGGCCATACACCTGTGATTGTAGCTTTTGGGAGATCTATCAACCAATCGCTAACCCAGGCGCGACTGTAGCCGCGCAAAGAAACAAACAAACAATCCTGCACTCTGATGGCCCCGCCAATATCACGATCCAGCGATGGGAGGTTCTTTATACTTGCTTGGCACCTGAAATACCCGCTTGGGGCAGCTAGTCAGCTTTACACTGGATATGGTCCCCAGCTGATTCTAGACTCAATCTGTCGCTGAGGGGCGACTCCGGATATGGCCGATCTCTAGGGGAGGTTGCCGCACACTGTACCGATACTGTTCTTCATTGCATCGTACCTCATTGACTGGATTTGGCCGGATATAAGTTCATAATGCATGCAGATTTTGGAGGACTGTATCCACGGACTGGTTGGGGACGTCCAATAGGAAGCAGCTCCCTTTGGTGAGCGCAGTGAATACTTCGTTATTCTTGTTGCCTAATGGACGACTGGCCAGAGAAGCGTTTTCTGGGCGTTTTCGTGGATAAAATTTGGCCACTTTGTGTCATTCTTGAGAGCTCGTACTTAGTACATGGGTGCGACGTCGTCAGAGCTGGCATTCGGTAAAAATACATTCCAGTTTAAGCAATATCTTTGCCAAGCCACCACAAGTCCGTAGTATGTGGTATGAACGAGTTATTCAAGTTCAGAGAGGGTAGGGTAGAAGTGAGATTAGCTCTGTAAAATTGTCAGCAGGTTACTTCAACGCCTTTGCTGACTCAGAGTACACCAGTTCCCAATACATCAAGGAGAGTAGAACTGGCTATTTAATCGATGGTGACCTCAAGCTTGCTGCTGCTACGCACTACAAGTAAAGAAGAGATGATTTTCAGTTCACGTGCATACATGATGATTTCTATCAGGGCAAGATAATGTGAGAGCAAGACCAGCCCTGGCAGCTTCGCCATATTCGAATAAGCCCTCAGAACAATTGTGGAACAGATGTCAGGTGGCATGAGGCTATCGTTTTATGGTTTCGGCAGCGTTGTTATATACAGGCGTACCTTCAATCCCACGTACCCCCCAATATTATGCCCCTTGCATGTACCCACCAATACGCGGTGGTAATGAGTGAAATGGAGCTGCAAGGGCGGGTGGGCTATTATGGTGGTTGTGATGGCTTCCGAACGGATTCCAGATGCTTGAGCTCGCCGCGCACTATAGCCTTGGGGGCGACAGTATGCATCTTCGATTGACTTGAGATATTGGCCTGGTATGAATCATATGTCAGAAAGATGTGTGGGTCATGTCGAGCACCGAGAAATGGCGAAAGAAAAATGACAAAAGAAGCACACTTTGAGAAGGGTTATCTGGTTGCTCTTGCCTATAATATGTCTGGGAAGAAAGGATTGCGAGTTTTCCAAATGTCTTGTTCCTCCTTATCTATGAAGCCTATAAACCTTACAATGTACAAGTACAACACCCTATGTCTCTGTTCGTGGACGATCGAGCCACACCCAGTGAGTTGCGGGTATATAAGGACGAATATGATCACGCAAATAAGCGTTGACAGCCCAGTGGCGATTGGCCTCGACCGGATTAGCTTGAAGGAGACTCCAGCTGTGCACGGATATTATCCGTGGGACAAAAGCTGGTGTTGGGGCCCTTGCCCCCTCATCTGCCCAGAGTCAGGAGCAGTCCAGAGCGGATTTAGTCCTCAACTCACCCGTTGCCTTGCGGTAATTTAAGGTCTTTGTGGACGCGATTGAACTGTCACCGATAACTGTTCTCAAACTCGAGACCGACGACGATGAAGATGATGACTGTTTGATCAAAGCAGCTGCCCTTGTCGACCGATGCTCTTTATACCGGTACATCACAGCACCACTAGTCTCATCTCGCCCTTCCTTGATGTGTCGCGCGGACCTTCTGTGCGCCGAGAGCTTGTGCTGCTGCTGGTGTGCAGTTCTAACCACAAAATCGCCATCAAACCACCACCCTTTATCGATCTCTTTCCAGAACTCGACATCCGGTGCTCTCCCCTCTCTTTCCTCGTTCATGTCAAACTCATGGTCTTGTGGATCAGACCATAGCCCAGAAATAATTTCCCAGGAATAAGATCCCAAGAGCCTGCTGTCTTGATTGATCAACATCGTAGGTGACGTCGAGCTGTAAAGAAATAATCTGATGTCCTGTCGTCAAAACCGCACTCGAAGCTACATCATGGCACTTACCTTCGTCGAAAGGTCAGTAACAACGGCATACTCCGGAGGGGAGGTGGTAGTGTCGGGCGCGTTTTGAGGGTCGGAAACGGATGAGTAAAGCCTGAGGGTTGGTGAAGTGGCGCTTGCGATGACACTCGCTGCGGCGATGGCCCGAAAACGGAAAAGATTTGTGGAGCGAGGCATATTGCTTGGCCATACGGAGGGCGGTGAGGCGCACGGTCATGACCATGGGTGCTTCTGCCACCTTGTGTTCAGACGAGGCGCAAGGAAAGTGTTTGGAGTTGTTGCAGGACCCTTGTTGTGTGGAACGGCATCAAATTTGGAGCGGCCGTCTGCCGCCACATCATATATCCTCAAGTAACACTCCTCAGCCTCTTGCCTGCTTTGTTAATTCCTCTATCTCTTCAGAATGTGTACATCTTCGGGAGATCAGTCGAGATGTGCCATACCCAATGATGCACTTGTACACAATACGAGGGGTCCCTCCTGGCCGCCGTCGTCTTCGTTGAACGAATCCGTAGTATACGTAACATTGTGTATGTGGTATTCGGCTGCCGCCGCCTCCTGTTCCAGTCCTCCTCCGTGTATCTGATCCAGCATTTCTATCTTTCTCTTCTCTTTCTATTCCATCTTTCTTTTTCCCCCGCCCTTCGCCCGCCCTGCATATATCCCCACCACCGAGTACACCGCCGACAAGCAGCAATCCTCGGTGTCTCGTCAGCCCTGTGTCCCCCGCCACTCATCCATCATGGCAACCAGCGTCTTCGGAGCCCTGGCTCCACCAGCGCCACTGAGCTTTGGGCCCTGATGTACCACTCCACTTGCATAGTGCCCCACTCCTTCTGAATACGGGTAAGCACACCTCCCATCGCGTCGCTGAGCCCCGCTGATAACATCTCTAGAGCCATCATCACCACCACACCGCCTCTCATCGACGACCCCAGTGATTCAACCTTGGTGGTCCGAGCGCGCCACCATTGAAGGATCGGTCAATATCTCGATAACGAACCCAACAAGTCCTCTTCCTGATCCAGCGATCTCACCGACGCTCTCATCAGCTTTGTGTCATCGGCTCCCCGGTTTTCTAGTAAGCCATTACATTGAGTACGATGAAATAGCCCGCTGATACCGTCCTCATAGGCCGATAGATATACAATCCTACCACACGTTGGTATATCGCGTTGACAGCTACGACGATGACGGTGTCAATTGCTACTCCAGTGCCCGGGCAGTCTGCGACGGAAATCAGGGAGGGTGATAGAGGCATACTGTCGCAGAGAGAGATAGCTGAAAGGCAGGTCAGTCCACTTATCTGTAATGATTGCTGTATACTGACAATGCCTCCACAGCCTCTTCCTTCGCATGTACGCCAAGAAAGCCTCGACTTCTACTGTATGGAGCGGCGCGAGACCAACATTCTCCTTCTCGCTCCGACACCTTCTGGCCTGCTGCGTGGCAACAGGCAGTATCTCGTTTCCTCACATTACCTACTACGGCGAGTCATTTCAACCCCCCATGTTGCGGCTTGACTGACTCTCTCGTAGCCAACATCGGCGCCTTCTACCCACCCTCTCGCTTTTCCACCATCTTCGACGTATGACCAGACGCGAATCCTCCACGACTACCGGTGGAGCGTCGATGTCATGCCGAACCACCGCCCGACTTGCAAAAGGAATCCTGATCGAGCGCGCACATCATGGTTGTCTCGAGCGTCTTGGGGTGGCTGACGACAAGTCGGTTCCAGACGGCGTCACGGAATATGGCTATTCAGATTCAGGATCAGGGGTGAGAAACGATGATACTGCTTGGGAGAGCTGGTGCATTAGCGGGGTGGTCGGTGAGTGTTCCGGTCACTCCTAACGAAACGATGCTGATAATATTCCCTGCAGATCTTCTTCATCGACCTACTCCCACGTCCACTTGGAAAGCCCTCGACCACTCTCTTACGGACATAAGCGGCGACATTCCGGACCATATCATGCCGAGTGTCGTTGTCACGGCCTGCTGGGACGCAGCAGGGGAGAGGACTGGAAAAGGTAATTTTGGAGGGGAAAAGACCTTTTCGGTATGTCGCTCCATTTCCCTTCCATCTTTATCATTCACCTAGGCGGAGCCTTCAACTTCCCCCACCCACCTTCTGCTTCACAAGCTCCTCGCCCTCACTTACTCGCCGTCACTATGGTCCATTCTGTCCCTGCTCCCTCCGTAGCCTCATCTACCACAGCGCTTGGTATTTCCGACCCGAGTGGCTCGACCTCAGCTTTTCAGGCCTTCCATACGATTGTCCTCGTCAGTGCCGGCTCCTCTGTCGTCCACTTGGCGTCGTTACAGCAAACAAGCACCATGGGTCTCAGCAGCGGGGCGATCGCTGGGATAGTGCTTGGTGTAGTCACAGGCTGCTTTATGATTGCGGGGGTTTTGATCGCATGGCACGCACAGGAGGAGGAGGACCAGAGGGGGAAGGGCGGTGCGACCGTGAGTCCGAGTAATGTCTACGGGACAGAAACGTGCTGACTCAATGTAGTGTTGTGCCAGAGATCTCCGCTCACACTTCCATCTTTGCCAAAGCTCCCGTTATCCTACTTGAGCTCACAGGTCATGACTTGACAGAGCTATCAGGAATCACGAATCAGGGGGAGCGAAGAAGGTTGAGAGACGCGTTGGGTCAGCATTGGGGGGAAGATGGGAAGGCACCCTTTCGTCTGGCGGTTCGACGGTCGACCCTGCTTCTCCTGGAAGCCATGAAGCAGAGTCATCCGAGCCGGAAGAGTAGGGCCAGGCGATGGATGGCGGCGTAATTGGGATTACAAAGATGTTCGGCTTGCACGACCACGTCATTGAAGACGCCGTACGTCCCACTTGTCCCCTCTCACCAACATGACCAACAAAAGCTTATGCTGGAATAGAGTCCAATGCCAAACCCATCCCGCTTTTCTTTCGGCGCTACCGACCTCCACGAGGACGATCTTGAAGCCAACTGGCCGGCAACTCAGATGTATCACGACCTCTACACTCAAGATCTGGCTTCCTCCCTTGCTCAATCTCCCATGAGCGACGCTTACAGAATAGACGTCTTGGCTTGGGAGTTTGATGAACATCCTGAGTTGAAGCTGCTCTTGAGGGGCCGGTGTATACCCACAGCCCCAAGGTCCGCCTTATCGAGCTAGAGCTGCTCTTGGAACAGCCCGGGGTCTGGGAAGCGTACCTTTCCGATCTGAACTCTATGGCCACATCCCACCCAAACGTCGACCTCGAAGACACTTAGGTCATGACGCCCAGCCGAGCCGGCATACTCGACGATGGTGTCGCGCAGGTCACCATCGACTTTGCAAATACACTTGCACCTATGTCGGTGGTAAGCTATGCAGCGGTACTCGAGCTCTCCCCTATCGTCCTTCCCTATCGTCCTCCCCTATCGTCCT